GCTCAGCTGACATCTCGGCTCTGCAACAGCGATTGTCAGCTCTGGTAGCCAGACAACAAAGCTTCCTCAAACTCGGGGTAGGTGGCAGCACATTCGTGGAGCAGATGTCAGCACATGCTGGGCTTCCGATCAGGCAAAGAAGTAAGATTGCCGTGCAATATGCACCACAACATCGGTTCAAACTTCAATCACATCGACAAACGGGCGGATCAGAAACCCGGGGCTCACGAATCAGTCAGAATCCAGGCTGAGCTTGGCTAGTATCTTAAACTGAAATGGTCTTATAAAACCGAAACCGTCCAATGAAACTGCATCGTTGATCGTAGTTCACCCGCTTCTTAGCAGGCTTAGACTGGATGCAATTTGGCCAGTGCAAGTGGCGTGAGTGGCCACTTAGCCAGTGCAACTACTATATTTACTTTACTGTCTATGTTACGTGACTTAATCCTGACGGGACTTAATAACGAAGGAAGGGGGTATTCTTCAGCTGACACTTGTGTCAAGCCGTGAACTTACCTCAGGACGGTCCAAGTCTCCGAGCGGTCAGAGACGATGACCAGTCGACTTCCGAGACATATGCATTTGTAATTCAACTATACTTCATACTTGAGCATAAAAAGTAGTGTCCTCAGATCCTGATCAATATCCGTTCATGGCGCCGCAGCAGTTCGCACGCATCACGTAACAGCCGCGGTACCACTCAATTCACATTCGATCGCGTGGAATTTAGATGTCAACACACCACTAACCTGGCACTATAATCCCGGCACACACCGAACACCGCAAAATCTAACGATATAGTTCGTTTTCACGCCTCAAACACCCGCCGGAATCCACCCAACCACACCACACTGCAACAAACAACTGCGCGTTGCTACGCGTCGGCCGTCGCCCCCTCCCCCCCCCTTACTCGGGGTCCAGAGGCGTCAGGTGACGAGATGTGATTGGTCCTGAGCCCGAGGGCATAGTCACGTGACGTGACCTTCGGCGGGAACGGGCGGCCTGCGGTAGACGACGTGGGGACTGGGGAGGGGAGAGCGTAATTCGGGGACGGACACTATGTAGAGTCAGGGTCAACGTCCCATCAATTCATGAAGAGTAAGCACTCTTGTTGCAAACCAAGAATAAATAAAAGAAAAACATGCCTTAGAACTCACGTTCACAGTAACAAGAACCTGTGTCGAGGAGGGGCCGAGGTCAAGGGCTGCAAAACTTTGTACTCTATTTTACATGAAACACCCAGCCACTACAAGAAATTTAATTGAACCTTGCATTTGCCAGAAGTTGACACTTCCCGGGTTTGTCGTGAATATTTCGGGCATGAGTGCCTGGCCGATTCCTGACCGACTTCTGGGCGGCTCTGGCCGTCTCCTGCCCTATCCGACAGAGCCGTATTCAAAATTACTGGTGAAGATTTATGTTGAGTTTCTTATCCGTCTATCTTTCGAGACAATCTGAATCGCCATTCGTCGGTAACCAGGCTGGCTGTTTCCGCCTCTCCCCTCCCCCTCCCCCACCCCATCCCACACACGCATCCCACTATAGCCTAGCCCTAGGCCGGCTTCGAATCCCGTCCGAGCGCGGAATAGGGATGACTACACCGACTACGCCTCTGCCTGCCAGCTCCTCAACCTCAAGACGCTGAGTGAGCGTCGCGATGCTGCCCTCTGCAAGCTGGCGGCCGACATCCTCGCCAACCCCGCCCACCCACTGTACCCGGGCGAGCAGCTGGCAAATGTGAGGCGCCCACTGCGCCGGCAGCGAAAGTTTGTCGTACCGCGGGCCAAAACTGAGCGGTATGAAAAGTCCACTGTGCCTGTCCTCATAGATCTAATGAACAGGATGTGATCTTCACGTAGATACCTATGCTCGGAGCTCTTTTGAAATGCACTGTGTTGCTAAGTTCGCAGCTAGTTTTCTGCTGATAAAACACCCCCTTCACCGTAATCTCACTTCACCCAATCCGTTCCCGAATCACAGCTCATCTTTCTGCAGCGTCGACCCGCCCTGCGGAGCTCGCCAGCTCTCGTTGATCTCCAGACCTCTCCAGAATGCGATCCGCTCGCTGAAGGCGGCGCTCCCCACGCTGGGCTGATTGTTCAGCCACATGTGCTGGCGATCCTCGGCCGTGTAGACGGGCCACATCGGCATCGACACGACGTCTGTGCTCGGGTAGCCCTGGCGGGCGAAGCTGATCCACAGCGAGACCATGAAACGGATCATCTTGTGCTCCTCAGAGCCGACCGCAACGGGAGGAGCGAGCCCGTTCTTGAAGAGGTACAGCAGATCGTCCGTGTGTGAGACGCCGTAGTCCCTCACACTGCCGTCCGCGGTGCCCAGGATCGCACTGAGGATCTTGGCGAAGCTCTGTCGTCCCGGGCCCATGTGGTTCAGGACGTACCTGTAGACAGGAGTGTGGGCAGAGGCCAGGTCGGCTTCCTTTGAAGTGCACGCTGCGATGGTGCGGTCTGTGTACACTTCCACTAGACGCTCGAGGTTTCCTTCACCAACGGGATTTTGATCGAAGTAGAAGCGGTAAATCTTCTCTGCCATGGCGGGAGGATCTTCCGTCACCTTGCTGATGGCCAGGATGTCTTTCGCCCAGACGTTCCAGTCCCTGGAGGAGTACTTGGGCGGCGACTCGGCCGAGTGGGTGCCGATCATGAAGGCGCCCTCGTCGTGGGTCATGCCGTGCAGCCAGGGCACGCGACTGAAGCGGCCCTCCCGCAGCAACACGTGTGGATCCTCGGGGAGGAACGGCGTGTCGGACTCGGCATCAACGCGAGCTTTGTAGACAATAGGCAGACCGACGACCAGATCAGTCTCCAGCTTCTGTACTGCCATCATCACCTCAGCAGCAGGCTTCTCACGAAGACAGGCGACGACGTCCTGCGAGCTCCCGCTTGGACATCCAAGCAATTCAGCGTGTCGCCTGGCCAGGTCGCCCTGCGGCTCTCCGCTGGCGGCGAAGTTGCAGAACGAGGCACCGGACTGGCTGATGGCTCTGGCGAAGAGTCCCTTGGATAACGGGCTGAGCACGTGCAGGCCGACACCGGCTCCTCCAGCCGACTCACCGAACAGTGTGACAAGGCTGGGGCCGCCGCCGAACGCCGCGATGTTGTCCCGCACCCACTGCAGCGCCAGACGCTGATCGTGCAGGCCATAGTTTCCCGGCGCCGCCTCGTCTCCTGTCGTCAGAAACCCGAACGGCCCCAGCCGGTTGTTAATGGTGACCAGCACAACCTGCTGGTCCATGAAATACTCCGGTCCGAACAGCGGACTGGCGTCACCGTCACCAAAGATGAACGCTCCTCCGTGAAGCCAGACGAGCACGGGCAGCCGGACCTTCTCAGTGGCAGTCGGCAGCCGGGCGGTGTACACGTTCAGGAACAGGCAGTCCTCGTCTCCCTCCAACGCGCCGGAGAAGGTGTTGAACTGGAGACACTTGCTGCCGTGCTCTGTGGCGTTCCGCACCCCCTGCCAGCCGCCGTGAGGCTCCGGAGGACGGAACCGGAGGGACCCGAGCGGCGGCGCGCCGTACGGAATGCCTGGAGAATAGAAAACAAACGGGGTCGTATGATTACTACTACAACAACATTAAAACACACTACACGGCAAAGATGGTGAAACACGTAAAAGTCCTAGTAGCTAGCTATGCTTCAAGTGGTAATTACTACTAAATATTCATCCTGATCAGATAAGAGTATCGAACACATTCAGTGGTAACGAGCGATTCATGCGACGATTAGCTCACCTTTGAACGAGGCGAACTCGTTTCCCATGAACGACTTGAGAATTTCGCCTCGGATATCGCCATTTTGCGTTGATACGATTGGACCCTCGGACGCTGCGGCTGAGACAAGCAGCAGTATTGACGCTGCCAAAAACAGCGTCAGATGCCGAACACACAACATCTGAAACAAAGCGCAAAACGTGCTCTTAATAAAACAGTCACTGGAACAAAGCACGCAGCTACCCGCACGCAGAGCGCCAAGCTGCGCCTGAACTGCACCATGATCAGGCCATTCATTGATCCAAGGACCATGACTCTCGGGCGGTGACTTGCACAATGTCACCCGCCGGTTCGAGGGGTGACAGCGCGTTCTTGGCACATTCCATGTTTACGCAGCCTCTCCCGGGCCCATCCAAGCAAAACTAGAATGCTGAAAACCTCGGACAGCACCGGAGCGAGAAATTATCCACGATAAGCTGAGACTGCACGAAAACCGCTGGTCATATATGCGCTCGAGCTCCTACGGAGGCTACTGTGTTCATTACTTTAGACAGAGCCAGATCTGATCATGAACATTTTACAGTGCATGGCAAACCAAGCTCATACCAAGGGATGGAAGCGAAATAAAATATCTTTTGATTCCGTCTTATCATAAAAATCTATGGACTGAATAGTGAACACTATGTCCCAAATGCCTCTCAACACAACACACCCACATCATATCACTCAGGGTTCGGTTCGCTTACCATATTTCCGCTGCGTATCTCCAGTAGCTGAGCCTATCCCTCCTCTCTGCTCTCTACACTCCGACTGACGAGGCCAGTCGCGACGGGCCGCGCAGCACGGGTGCGGATGTGCCGAGACGGACCGACCCCAGGGCGGGTGGGTGCTCGTGCGTCTATTGATTCCATTGGTGGCTCGAGGTCAGGAGCAGAGGAGAGGAGGGGGCGAGAGAGATGAGAGGGGACAGAGGGAAAGAAAGAGAGAGAGAGAGAGAGAGAGAGAGAGGGGAGAGAGAGGGGGAGAGGGAGAGAGAGGGAGAGAGAGGACAGGAGATGGGGTAGGTCAGGGCGACGGGAAGACGTGAAAGAAGAATGATATACGCGAAAATACAGGGAGATAATTGATAAGAGTCGACTTCAAACGAACAGGCGGGCATTGTTGGACGTCACATACACAAGTCACAACACTTTATCATCGAAAAACATTTAGCAGTGCAAGCCAATTCAGCATTTGCGGACAAATGCCCAACCCAACAAAAACTTAATTTATATTTGCTGTCACTGCAGCCATTTATTTAGAAACACTCAACCGAAACAAATATAGGAGATTCTTCCCATCAGAGTACCGTACGTAACAGTCAACATTGGAGAGTCATATCGCAGCCGACACGAGCACAACGTATGAACAGAGACAATCCCGAACAGACATGACCGGGACATGGGTGTGGGACGGAGTCGAACATCGAACAGCGCTCACATGTAGACAACATTACACAACCGTGACACGTGTCAACAATCAACAGTCACTTCAGTGGAAGTCCCGTTCATAGCCGGTATGCATGGAAGACGGTTATCATCCAACTTGGCCGTTTACAATTGCGCATTGGCCTTATCGAGGAAGCTTCCAGGTACAATCTGAACTCATATAAGGTCACCACTCACCCAGCTCTAGGCAAAATGAATATAAAAAATGTGAAACATCTGCCTCCCAACGCAAAAATGTTTGTCCATACAAATAAGTGTAACAAAAGGTAGAAAAAATGACCAAGATCCCATCTGGTTACATGATTCACTGAACCAACAAAAAGGATAGAAAACAATATCAAAATATAATCTTCAATGTAATTATAATTCTCTTCAGAGAATACCAACTCCAGTAGTACACCCAAATCCACAAACTCATCACTCTTCTATCAATCTCAACATATCAGTCTCTCCTCACCTCCCCACCCACTTCCCAAGCCAGCCAGCAGTCACCCACACATCACTCTCCGATCGGACCCAGTTTCCTCCATCGTCCTGTGCACCCGTGCACCGCTCACCGGCGCCCCCTCACGGTTTGTGCACGATCAGGTCCCAGGTGTCTCGCCAGGCGAGCGCCTGTACCTCGGGAGCCGAGAGCGGGGTCGTGCCGTAGGTCACCACACTGAAGCGGATGAAGGTGTAGACGGCGGCAGCCAGCCACAGCAGCACGCCGGCCGCCGCGGGCAGACGCAGCCAGCCGCCGGCCACACGACTGAGGGGAGAGGGCGAGAGGTCACACGGGGGTCTGAGGAGGGAACATGAGTCAAACAGGACGCATGGGGAGAGCAAAACACGGATAGAGCTAATCTATCACCAGAGTTATTTGGGGCAGGCTAGGGACACCCCGGAACTGGACGACTCATTGGTGCTCACTATGAGTCAAATGGGAGTCACGATCCATTACTCAACACTCAGTGCCAATAAAAGTTACAATCGTTCATCAATGCATTACCTGGAAGCTAATATAGCACCACCTACAGCTTCTACCTCATAAAACCATACCAACTCCATCCTCTCGACTGTATTGCGATTCTCACCCGAGCAAGACGAACACGTGGTCCACGATGCAGGCCGACATGAGCACGGCGAAGATGTAGGCCGGCAGGTAGTGGTGCAGGAAGAACGTGTGGTCGATGATGAAGTACGGCAGGTAGTTGAGAGCGAAGCCGAGCAGCACGATCAGTCCCAGGTCGCACATCTTGTCCCACTCGTCTGCAAACGAAGACGGTCGTTAGGGTAGGTCAATTCACAGCGGTCCTCAACTGTTTCAGGTACCCTCGATTCAAACTTCGTGAGTCTCTGATGCGCTGTGAATTTTTAGAGTGCACTGTGAAAACTTGGTCCTTGTACATACGACATACGAACCTTATGCGGTACTGCCACCTGGTGAAAAAAGTTAGTACTAGCAGTACAGTATTCGTATCCAGATGTCGCTAAAACTACTGATTCGAGTTCCTCTACTATCATCAACGTGTTCAGAGTGCATCAGTCTAGATTCCCAGCATTCACTGATGTGAAGAACAGGCAATGATACAGTTAATAAATACGCAATGGCTGACAAACAGGACATGAAGTGCTGGACACTGCCAGAACAAAAGCACTACAAGCGTTAGTAGGTATTAGTAAGCATTAGCACAATGCAAGTGCACGAATTAACGCAGCCCCAAGAAGCATTGGATGGAATAAAGAGAACTAGGGATGAAAACGTAATTGTTCAAAACAATTTCCTATGTATGAAAAAAGGCAATTTCTAAACAAATCCTACAATTTGATGGACAAGCAATCCCTTTCCTTCCAACCGGTCCTGTGGCGCAATGGATAACGCGTCTGACTACGGATCAGAAGATTCCAGGTTCGAATCCTGGCAGGATCGCAACTTTTCCCCTTTCAACACAAAATACGATTCGCTGCATGACGGGCCGTCGGCGTAACGCGACTCCTATCTGCCATCAGTGCCACCGATCCACATTACATATCGCATGCTTATCATTTAACCCGCGCCCAGATGGGGTCTGCCGAGCAACGCGGTCTGATGGGGGGGGGGCCATTTTGGCCCCCCCCCTCAGATCTCGAGAACCACGCAACATAGCGACAAGCGGTAAACGGTGTTGGATAGCCCCAGCGGGGAACTACCTTGTGACCCAATTTCATTGACCTCGGTCAAACCGATGACGTCACAGGTCAGGTCAAAGGTCGAATTTTCACCGTTTACAGGCATTTCAAGAAATGCGTTGTAAAATCGAGTAAAATGCATTTCATTGAAATTCATCGATGGAGAAATGTTTTTCAAACACATATTTTGCTATTTGAGGTCACTGATACCAGGTCAGGTCACAGAGGTCAGGTCACTGGGGGGTCACAATATGAAAGTGTCGTGTGATACATGTTTTATGGTCCATTTTACATGACAAATGCGATTATGTGGGTCAGACAGACTTTAGGGCCAGCTTAGGTCACGTTTTGGTCAAGGTCAGGTCAAGGTCAGGTCAAGGTCAGGTCAAATTAGGTCAAATTTCAAAGTTGATATTTTTGCATAAAATGGGTATCGATTCGATGCAGCTCGTCACGGGGAGTTCAATGGTGGTCTCCGTTTTGCGCTACGAGGTCTAGAATTGCTAAAAATTGAGTTCAAAAATTTGACGTCATCAATTTTTAACAGTTTTTTCGCTATAACTTGGCCAAAAAAAGAGGTATCGATCTAAAATTTGGTATGTATATCGAAGAGCGCAGGGACTATCACATATATTCCGGTTTTTTTCGAAATTCGAAAAATTTTTGGAAATTTTTTTGAGTTTTTCTAAAAAAATCAATTTTTTTTTTATTTTTAGGGGTCAAAATCCCAAAATTTCGAAAATCCGAGATAGCAGTTTTGTAGCGCCGTCTTTTCTCTACACAACCACATAAAGAACTTTAAAATTGCTTGTTAACTGTAGAATTGGTGAGCGTTTCAAGATGTCATGTTTTTTGCTCATTTTTGCTCGAACATGACCTCAGTTTGACCTCAATAACTCCTGACCTGAGGTGACCTGTGACTTGAAATTTTGTGTGAAGGTGTCAAATTGATGCCCGGTAAGGTACTGAAAATTTGGCGGCGCTGCGCGCCGCCGTTTTCTCGCTATTTAAGAAAAACCACAGGGGGGGCCAAAATGCCCCCCCCCCCCATCAGGGCGCGGGTTAAGCTCACACAAATATAAAACGCTACTTCACTTCCATACCGCACTGGTGTACCAAATGCATCTCACTTCTCAGTGTAACTGCGAATTACAAACCCTCCAGCAAGGCAATCCCACATTATTGACCACTGCGTAGCTCGCAGTTCATCGCCCCTACAGCCCACTCCCCCCTTCATCTCTAGCCTCTGCTCCCCGCACCGGATACTGGCGGTGTCTAGTTTATGGCCCGGCTCGGGTAACTGGGGCAGCTGCGCGTCAGATAACACCACAAACCCACGCAGGAAAACAAACCCACGCAGGCGTTCGTGTGTGTGTGTGGGGGGGGGGGGGGGAGGGACGGGCAAAGATGAGATTCCCGCTGACCGAATCGGAGGAGCTCGCAGGTCGCATTACGGAGTGAAGATGAGACGTAAGCATTTGCGCGCAGTCGCGCGACTTCTGACATGGAGGTGACTGCGGGCTTTCGAGGGGAGGACGAGGCTCGAATGACTGGACGGAACAATATCGTTCACTACCCCCCACCCCCCCCCCACCCCACCCCCAAATTACTCAGTCCTCGGTACTCACCCTCTGGGATATCGTAGCACTCTCGGCGGCGTCTCAGCAGGTAGATGCCCATAATGCCGGCGTAGGCCGCCAGCGACGCACTGGCCGCCAGCCACACGGCCGCGTTACCCAGGAAGTGCACCTGGGCGTTACTGTCCGGACTGATCCAGTACGCCACGCCGCGCTTCAGAGAGAGCCAGTCGAGCGGGTCGCTGGCGTACATGTGGCCCTGCACGGTCTCCTGGTTGTTGAACAGCATCTTGAGCTGCAGCTCGGTGAACTTGGCCCAGAGCGAGAGTCGCGCGCTGGAGAGGGGCAGCATCTCGGCGCCGGCCATGTCCTCCTGCTGTTTCTCGCTGCCCTCGGCCAGGGTGTAGCGGTGCTCCTCGGCGTTCCAGATGGTGTCGTCCTGCTGCACCACCTTGTCGCACGTGACCTCGAGCTGGTTGTGGCCCCAGTCGGGCAGCTGCTGGCCAGTGAATTTCAGAGCGGTGCCGCTCGGCTGGTGGATCAGACGCACCTATAGGACCAGCGGACGGGTCAGAGGGAGAGTCGGCTGGGACCGCAGAGGGCCGGGAAGAATTACGGAGCACGACAGGCGGATGGAGAGAAAATAAAATAAACGTTACGTGGTGCAACCAAAGCAGATTTATACCTCAATTACCCATCTCGTGAGCTCGTGGATATTCACTCTCCTCCTTCACCGCCCCACTGTATATTGGCCTCATCTCTCCAATTAGCACGGCCTGGGCCTCGTTTCATAAAAGGAATTACTTACGGCGTTCCGTCAATTATGCCAGATTTGGCGTATTTGATGCCAATTCGGTTTCATAAAGCCGGAGACCGGAGTAATTCACGCCATCGAAAGTACGGAGCTTCATTTACGGCGAATGCTCGATTCCGGACCAATTGATGCGATTTGGGTTTCATAAAACGACGTAATTAACGCCAAATATTTTATCAAGCTCTTGATATCAGTGGTGTAAACTACGCACAAAAATGTTGCGTGATTTTGAATTAATGTGAAGATTCGAAGCTAATTTTTAATATATTTTATAATTTTGAGCCCGGTGAGGAAGAAAGAACAGCCAAAATGAGAAAAAGAAACTGCAAATCTCCTGTACCAGTCGCTTTTTGTGGCCACTATCGGAATTTTGTTTATTCGCCGCGCCGCGCCACTTTCGTAGTTAGGCACTTCTGCTTAGCTGGCTTTCTGCTGTTTTTAATATATTGTTTTAATAAAGGATGGTCATCAATATCAATTTTGTTTTTTCATACATAATTTTTAAGATTTAAATTCAACATAATTGTTTTATAAATTCTCGTAAAAAAATAAGTGTTGACATGAAATTGTAATTTATAGGACGCTTGATAAATTACGGTAACTACGCAAATGTGCTTAGTTACGGAGGTGTAAACAATTCCAGTTGTGGCTTTGTGAAACGGATTTATTTGCGCTCCGTAGTTTGAAAGGGTGTGAATTACGGAAAGGTGTAAGTTACGGCAGAGTTTTATGAAACGAGGCCCTGGTCTCTCCCCGTCCCTGTGTTATCCCTCCCATCGCCCCGCTCCCCCTGCAGTAATTATGCAGCCCTCCTAACCTATCACTCCCTCCCTTCTGTCGTCGACCGCCCACCTGTGAGACGATGGCGTGCCATACGTTGCCGGTGTCCTTGCCGTTCAGCAGCTCCACCTTCCACAGGTTCTGCGCCGGCATCGAGATGTTGTAGTCGATGTAGCAGCTCACCTCCTGCGGGGGCGCGAATCGCGGGGGATCGGTCAGAAACGAAAATATGACAAGACGATCAGGACATCGTATGATCGCCTTCACAGTTATACAAAAGTCGATCGAGACTGTTGACGTTTGAACGCGAGCGGTACAAAATATGAAATAGACGAACGAGAACATCGAACACGAAAAGAGCTCCATAAATAACAACAGCAAACACTTGGACATCAGCGGTGCGATCTACAACACTTCTGTCGACTGTCTTTCTACCTGCATCACCACCAACCACCCGCAACCCCCCCCCCCCAAGCACCACTACCACTACCACTACCACTACCACTACTACTACCACTACCCCGCCCCCCCCGCGCGTCCTCGCCTGATTTCCGGGCGTCATTGGTGCGGCGACGTCGTGCGAGTTGAGCGCTCGGCTGGTCATCCCGTGCACCAGCTGGATAATGTCGCCGTGCTTCACCGGCTTGAACGGCGACGTCACGCGCATGTCGTCACTGTAACGACCGTGACGCGTCACGGACACGTATTGTGGCATCAGCTGCAAGTTTTGGAGGGATAAAACATGAGATAGGGATACAATTGCTTGGTCTAAACCAGCAGAGCGTCACGGAGTGAAATAGGACGAAATGGCAGCAACAATTTAGTACAGGTCATTACGTCGAGTATGATAGCTGTGCGAAAAGCGGCACCAAATATGGGAACATTTACAATTTATCAGTCGTTTTTGCAGCAACAGGGGCCGGCCGAGTGCCACGTCAGAACTTACCAGTAGCACTGCGCCAAGGTTTGAGAGATAAGAAGCGGAATACAATAGATAAGATGGAAAACCAGTGATAGCGGAACCGTCACGACTCTCCACATTGTTCCATTGTTTGGTGCCCTGGAGACATTACCTACAAGAATGTTGCATGAAAACAAAGAAGCAAGTTTTCTGCCTCGAGGAAGCTCAGGTGGGCAGAAGACAAAACACCTTTCGCCGTCCAGAATTTATCTTACCAGCCATTGCAGTACCCATTACAGCCATTACAGGAGATAATGCCTACAAGCATGTTGCATGAAAACAAAGAAGCAAGTTGTCTGCCTCGAGGAAGCTCAGGTGGGCAGAAGACAAAACACCTTTCGCCGTCCAGAATTTATCTTACCAGCCATTACAGAACCCTGTGATGGCGGAGGCTGTGATGTCCTCGCTAGAGCCTCCCATGATTGTCCCCCATCCTCAATCACCATTACCCCACTGGCCACCACCCCACCCCCTGCCTGTGTCTCACATGTCGGGCTGCTTGACGATCCACCAGTTGTTGACGTCCTTGTAGGAGTAGCAGGAGACTTGCTGCTGGTGGGAGGACCCCCTGTCGTCGTCGTATTTGACCGGGTAGACGCCCTCGTGCGAGTGCAGCCAGCATGTTCGGCCCAGGGTGTGTCGGAGCGTCACCTGGGAGCCGTGGCCCACCTCCAGCGGCTGGTTCTGGATGATACTGGCCAGACCGCCCTGCGGGACGGCAGGAGGAGGAAAGACAGGTGATCAGTCAGTGGTACGGTGTGGGGAAGCCCCCTACCACGGTGCGCTGTTCAGTGGATATCGCTTCATCGGAAAGAGAGAAGAACACGACGGCCGAACGAGATAATATTATCACGAAGAATAAGGGAGTCAGTAAAGTCATGAGACACATCTCAGTAAAAGACATAATAGTGTTATTCCATATTCGCAAGTTATATGATAAAGAGGAGTACTTGAATGGCTGCACCTTTGCAATTGATGTTAGCATAATCCGTGTTGATGAACGGTTTAGCTGAATCCATTGCCAAGGTTTGCATATCATCCCCACAATTTAAACATGTTCGTATCCCCTTTGGTTTCCCCATGACTCACGTCGAGGCTGGCCTGGAAGGCGCTGGTCATGACGTTGTCGTGCGCGCCGGCCTTGTGCAGCACGGTCAGGTGGGCGTAGAAGGAGGCGCCGTAGACGAGCAGCGGCACGGCCAGCACGGCCAGCGCGCGCGCCGCCAGCTGGGCCAGCAGCTGGCCGCTGGTCACGCGCCTGTCCGGGATCAGCGTCCAGAAGTCGCGGCAGACGATCACAGCGCCCAGCAGCAGCGTCAGCAGGCCCGAGTACCGCACACTGGAACAACGGATCAGGTTAAACGATCAGAGGGTCAGAGCAGCGCACACTGGAACAACGGAAACAGGATTAGCAGTCAGAGGGCCGGAGTGGCGCACAATGAAACGGGTCGACAGTTAAAACTCACAACATTTGAAGATAAAATAAGAGAGAGAATAATAAAGAAAATGGTGATCATAGATTGGTAAATGGTAGCGTGCGAACTGCGCTCTCCATACCTATGCCATGAAGCAAAAGATACATAACTCACAGTATGTAGAGTAACCAAGAATCGAGAACCCAGTCCGTCAATTCTCACAAGTCACAACTCCCCCACGCCGCGAGTCATCCACGGCCCTCACCTAGTTGCCGCTCCGAGGAAGACGAACCCGGCGGTGAGCCAGCCGAGCCAGGGGAGCGAGAAGGGCCGCTCACGGTAGTGGCGGAACCGAACGAGGCAGAACACGCCGAGAACAGAGAACAGCAGCAGGAACGGCTCCATCAGCATGAACCGCGACTGCACCAGCACCGCGTTATCTGCCGGGCGGAGGGAGGTCAGTACCGTGTGTCACGAGTGTTATCTGCGGATGGAGAGAGGTCAGACTTAGTATAGCACGGGATAGTGGTGAAGGGTGGGGGTGGGGTCTGAGAAATTATAGCAGGAAGGGAAAACACAAGGCGTGTCGTGTCGCCCTGAGGACAACTCAAGGCGCATAGGCATAGGCTAGGCATGGGACGACACAGCATGGATTGGAAATGAGGATTACCGATATCGGAGACAGTCATAAATGAACGAGGTTATAAATAACTGAGTGCCGAGTAAAAACGCGTCCAAACAAAATTAATTGCGATGCCGATCGACAGCGTGACGAAAAAAAGCAAAAGTCAAGGTAATCTTCAAGACATGCAACGGTGCAGATTGCAAGTCACCAAACTCGTAATCATTTGATCGGCATCATTGCCTGGTAGAGCGCAATCACAAATAAAGCGACATGTTACACTGAACATAAAGTCTCAGCTCATCTCAAAGCTGCAAAACACTTGCCTTGGCTGACGAGGATGCAGAGGAGCTCATCCAGAGAGCATAGGAAGGGGTAACTTACGCGAATTCAGGATGCATACGGATGAGTTTAACAATCAACTCGTCCCGAGTTCGTAAGAAGGATGAGGCGGATAAAAACTGAAGGAGCAGAAAAGATTGTCATTGTTAGTGAGGCTTTCGGTCAGGGGAGTCCCGAACTCGAACGTGAACAAGTAAACACGGACAAAATAGTTCACGTCTTACTTGCGTCGAAGCCTCAATTTTTCATCGACTTCGATAAACAAACAAGAGTTAAATGTGCAGATTCCAAAACTAGGCACCTGCACACAGCAAACAAGCGTTCCATAATCCAATGAAACATTTACAAACCTCTCTCCTCACCTGCCTGTGCCAGATAGAAGCCCTTCCCCAGCCACAGAGACCAATGGGCACCTTTCTCTTCCCCCCTCGACAACCAAGCAAAGTAGACATCTCCTTCCCTCACGCACCAAAACAGAGATCTCCCCCTCCCTCACCCACCTAACAGTAGCAGAAGTCCTGCCAGCCCGGCGGCCGGTCGTGACACCCCCAGCTGTCTGAGCAGGCAGTAGGAGGCCGGCAGCAGCAGTGACCCAGCCACGGCCGGCAGCAGACGCAGAGCGTACACGGGGAAACCCTCCGGGTACTCGGAGCCGATCCGGTCAAAGTTGAAGTTGCCTGCAGAGGAGAGAAGAGCGAGTTGTGAGCACAGTACCTCACTGTGAGGTACTGTGAGAACGAGATGGTGAGGGTAGTCGAGCAGCCATGTAAGCTGCTAACATTGGTAGTCAGTCGTCGCCAGGAAATGACAAGATGCAGGCAAAGCGGTTAAATAATCGAAACTATCGGAACATAGAGCCTTGATAGACATGACATAAAACTAGAATGATACAAAAGATCGATTCAATTTCACGGAACCACTTTCTAAAAAAAGTTCCCGAGTCGACACTGTTTCATATCACATCATGCGCACCCAGTCCGCTGTCCATTGTCCAGCCATAAGTAACATCATCCTCCCCGTCCCGTCGCACTCCCACTGACCGTCGAAGCCGGCGAAGTGGGCGGCCAGCGCCAGCAGCTGCTTCCCCAGCGGAGGCTGGGAGTCGAAGAAGAACATGTTGTTCACGTAGTAGCCGGCGAACTTGCCAAAGTGCAGCTCGTCAAAACTGCGGTAAAAAAGCTCGTGTCAAATAGGGCGGGCTCTGTGGCACAGAGAGGTCCGGTATTCAGATGTTATATCAGACTATGAGTTTGTACACACAATGGTCTCCGGTGGTATCTTTGATCTCTGGCGTGCTCTCTGACGCAAATGTACGGTTCGAATGCACCTCTTCAGTATGTATGCAGTAGCAATTATTACTATTAGGCATCAGCATACAACACACCACACTACATCCCGTCCTTGAGCAGCATACAATACATCCCAATCCGTGGACTATTCATAAAGCATATTTATATCCATCGAGAGACCACTTTTCAAGTGAGATATCTGCTACATCCCGCCGCCCTCCACTTCTTCGCCCATTACTAACACGATGGCCCTCGGCAGTCCGAGCTGGTGCAGCCGGGTCAGCAGGCCGCCGACCAGCAGCAGCAGCGCCACTCCGTCAAACCCGTGGTGGGGCTGGACGCCGCCGCTCGCCGGAGCCGACGAGGAGGCCGCCGCCGAGCGGGACGGCTTGGGTTTGCTCTTGGTGTCGGGTTCATCCTGGGATACAGTCAGGAGAGATGGAGAGTGTCAGTGTTGGGCGTCAGGTTGTGTGGGGGCAATACAAGATGGACAATCAGGCCTGGTGCGCTGAGCATTGGTTGAACAATGAACACGATGCGCAAAGTATCTTACTAGTTAGACAATCGGTGTACGGTGGAAATATGAAAGGGAAAAGGGGATAACAGGAGAAAGAAGCAACAGTAGTCGTAGTACCCAGAGGTGGAAGGAAAGGGAGGGCACGACGGGAACGCAGATCCAGGACGAGATAAAACCAGGACAGCACTTAGCTATTAGCAAAGTAATCTTGAGCATAGCCAGGGGATAGTTGAGTTGATGCATTACCAAAAATTCCGGCCAACTAACAAGGCGCACAGACTTAACATCACAAAAATGGGAGTCACACGGCATATTTTTATAGATATGAAATATCTGGATGTTCCGATCTCCTCCACCAGCCTTGGTGGAGATTATGTGTCGGTAAAAACGAGACCCGGCTGGACCAGTTATTGCAGCTGCAGCGTCGGCCCGTCAACAGATAACGACCGGTAACGGCGTCTCACCACCCCCGCGCCGTCCATACCAGTGATACCAGCCAGCCTCTGGCCTGTGTCCGGCCACTAACGCGTCCACGGCAGCGGTGCCTCACGATTCGTCGGAAGGTCATCTCAGGCTCAAAAGAAACGATATATACCATTCGAAAGCTGACGGTGAGCTGAATCCAAAAATGTATTTTTTATCAAAATCGATCGATGGCCTTTTTTGAAAATTGCGTTTTTGTAAAAACTTAATAATCTTTTATTCAACGGGCTGTCCCGGACATTCTTGAAAACATAAACATGTATTTTTGAGTTCCAGTGAAAGCTGAACGCCAAAAGAACAATATTTAGCGAAGCAATATTTCCAAACAATAATATGCGTCTCCCACAGCCGACAATAAGGCGCAATCACACAGTTCAGTGTCACGATGGACCAAAGTCAGCCACACAGAAGCGTGAAATGACCCTTGTCGACTCGCAGACCCGGCGCTCTCGGCCCGCCTGACCGGCCACGGAAAGAACGTTCGGCTCTCGTTCTACTAAACAAATGTCATATTTGTCAGTTTAACTGTCCACATCGCTATTAAAGTTATTCAGGATACCTGTGAAGAAAATTCATTGTTCTGTCATCTTCACATCATGCATTAATTTGCATTTGTTCATGTCTACTTTGCTCAATTGAGCTTGGTATCATGCCCATATAAGGAAAATTGGCCGCGCTGAAATGTCAGAGGTTGCACCGGCCTCAGCTCGGGTGGAGTGGGGGTAGCGCCCGGCGGGGCAGGGTAACCTTTGACCGGTCGCACGGCCGAGCAGCTGTCACCAGTACAGCCTCTGACAGTGTAACCCCGCTCACTTCCCCTGCGCGGGCACTGATCGCAGCTGGATGGAACAAAACATGTATAAGAAAAATGTAAATTAAAGCATGTTGTAAATCAAGCAGAACAATGAATTTTCTTCACAGGTATCCTGAATATCTTTAATAGCGATGTGGACAGTTAAAGTGACAAATATGACATTTGTTTAGTAGAACGAGAGCCGAACGTTCTTTCCGTGGCCGGTCAGGCGGGCCGAGAGCGCCGGGTCTGCGAGTCGATAAGGGTCATTTCACGCTTCTGTGTGGCTGACTTTGGTCCATCGTGACACTGAACTGTGTGATTGCGCCAAAGGAAGACTGCCACCTTCAAAAAGTTTTCTCAGATCGGCCTATGATTTATTCCCTGGATAAAACAAAATTTTAGAATTCACCTGACAAAGTATCATCACGTGAATCGCGAAAAAATTATCGATTATCATACAATTATCAATCGGTTAATGTCTAGCGACAATGTTTACACATCACTTGACTTCAACGTCATAAGATTATTACATTTTATTTGAAAAAGTAAGGTATTTTATGATTTACTAATATATGATTTCATAAGCAATTGGCCATGTTTAATTTATTTTGCATTTAACTTCGTAAAACATTTAAAAATCATGGCTCATTTGGAATGGGTCTGGCCCATGTTAAACCCCATTTCCCACACTTTTTTGGAAAAAATGAACTACTGAATATATAAGTTTAACTTTTATTTTGACACTCCAAAATTCTTCTCTGATATCGATCGAAACAATCAAAGTTTTGACATATGTTTGCCAAAAGATAAGAAAATTCATGTTTCAAAGTTATCGATAAACAGTAGAGATGTCGGTTTTCTTGGACTAAAAAAATGGCATCAAACTGAACTTTTGTCTCCGATTTCTCGCAAACGGGTACGAATTTCGGAAAACCGACTTCAGTCTGGGACATAGGTGGCTCAGGTCTAGTGAAAACCGTTTTGTGAAAAAAAGGTGGCAGTCTACCTTTAATGTCGGCTGTGGGAGACGCATATGCATGTTCGGAAATATTGCTTCGCTAAATATTGTTCTTTTGGCGTTCAGCTTTCACTGGAACTCAAAAATACGTGTTTATGTTTTCAAGAATGTCCGGGACAGCCCGTTGAATAAAAGATTATTAAGTTTTTACAAAAACGCAATTTTCAAAAAAGGCCATCGATCGATTTTGATAAAAAAAAAATACATTTTTGGATTTAGCTCACCGTCAGCTTTCGAATCGTATATACCGTTTCTTTTGAGCCTGAGATGACCTTCCGACGAACCGTGGCCTCGTAGCTGGCCCGCGCTCACATTGTGCCCGAGAAGCAGACTCCAATGGCCAGCGATGTGGTCCGGTATAGCTAGCGTGGCATGCAGTTCTGTTAGGAAGTCTGACATGGCGCATTCGATGAAGGCTGAAATCGTGCCACCAGAAACGTTCAAAAGGATCGTAGGCTTCATACCTGTTCCAGATCTCATGGATCCAGAACATTTATTGTCATTAAGACCGTTAGATTATATTCATGAGTGATCAAAATGTTTATTACCTAAGTTCCTGTCAATAAAATATCCGATACCGCTCAAAGCTCATCCGCAATTCGCTGATGTCAAATTCAGAACGGACCTCTACCTGGAACGGCCTATTTGAATTCCCAGGAGCCGGCTGCCGCTCTGCCTATCCCAAACCTGTTTTTTTGCCCAGGCTCATCCGTTTCACAAGGTCAGTGACCTCGGGAGAGGGACGCATCATCTACATTCACCGGTACACCACTGTCAGTGTGCCACGTAGTCACGTATCATTGGAGTCGCGCCGGTCTCCGCGGGGGTGGGGGTGGGGAGGGTGTCTGCGTGCGCTGCGGTGTGGGTGAAAGGAGATCGTGGTGAAGGGCAGGGAGGGGAGGGGAGGGCAAACCTGCACGCCGGGGATGCGACAAAACCTGGCCGGAGGCACCTGGACAGGTATGGGGAGGGACGACGAGCTGAACCGGTCGAATGGGGTGACGCAATTGACATGTTTACCAGCCGTAGTGGGGGCTGGAAAGAACATATCACAGAGGGAGAAAGAGAGGGAGGGAGAGAGAGAGGGGGCGGACTGAGGATAACAAAGGGTTGGACTGAGAGAAGGGATGCCACGATCTAGGGAAGGCCGTGCGGCGAAATGGCCCGCACGTCCGTCCGTGCTGCCAGAGAGTCAAGGCCAGCGCCGGCGCCGGGGGCGGGAGCCGAGCCTCCGCCGCTGTGCCGGTGACCGGCCGGCCGTGCTGGGACGGACGCCGCGCCGGCCGGGGCATTGACCAGCAGAGCTCCGACCGGCCGGGCCCCGAGCGGTCACCCGGCGCGACCGGGCGGCGAAACGGGAAGCCGGGAACCGCGGCGGCGGAACCAGCACCGCGGAACCACTGGAGTGGAGCTATGCATCAAAATTGCATGGTGCAGCGAGCGCTGGCGATTGTGAGGGTGTACTGAGCCCAGACGGTTGTTGGAACAGCTTTCTAAGGGATGAGAAAAACAAAACGGCGGGTGGAATGTGGGACGGGCAGAGAAAGGGTGGCATTACGTGTCGACTCAAACTGCAGATAGTAACGCTAAGTGACCACAAAAAGCAGCTTGACGAAACATGCAGACTGAAAAGCACCATAAGGCATGAGCTCGACACTAAGCAATAAGCACTGGCCCGCGGTCTAGATGCACAGGTGCCTGATCGCAAGAACATCTGCGCTTGAGCATACAGCCGTATGTTCAGGTGCCACTCCACAGCCAAGCATCATCTAGGTCTCACTCAGCAAAACAGACCACATCTTGTGTCAACATTAAGCAGCCCACTTGTCTACCACATCAACCCGCCGTCACCTGCCTATAACCAGACAGCACAGGTGAGCATCACTCAGCCGTGACGTCACACCGTCTGTGTGAGTGTGACGTCACGTCGTCACGGCCCTGTGGCGGTAACGGGCTGCCAGGAGCGGTAACGGTCCCGAGCGCGGGTCGCCGCCGCACCGCCAGCAGGAACAGACGAGACCAAGCGAACTCCCGGGCGAACTTGTGGAAAGTTGGAAACATAAAAACGCAACAATCCATGGCGAAAACACTCTTCATTGCCCGCCGCCCGTTGGTCCTTGCATTAGTTGAGGTTGGTGTGATATCAGCACTCGTCACTTTATCGCTATGCTCTCCTCCACCCTCTCGAATGAACGGGCTTGGTGTCATCTCGGGCGAGCTTCGGTCAGATCTGACCCGAGCCGATCCATCGAGGTCTAGAATTATATGTCAAGTCTAGGATGGAGTCTCTGAATGAAACAGCCAGTCCGATTGGGCTTGAGCGAAACCCTAACCAGCAACAAGGTAAGTTGCTCGTTGATTGTCTCACAAGCTGACCAAACCTCAATGGTAAGCTCTGATCGTGAGCCAGGCAGACCTGGTCTGCCTGGAACTACAGATCCCGGTGGCCGAAAAGTGCCGTCCCTCAGTGGCGGAGTGAGCTGCGAATGAAATCTTGTCCCTGTCACCTTACGGCCTGTGGAACAGACGGTAACAGAGCTACGCCCCCTCGACATGACGTTCCTCTTCCAACGTCGCCCAAAAGGCAACCACAATAAGCGACTTACAAAGTTGGTCACTGGACGAACAGCTGGACCAGACTCGATGTGCGGTCTCGGGTCATTGCACGGAAGGGCAGTTTGTAAATGGGACCACGACTATGAGCAGGGAACTTCTGGCCGAAGCTTGACCAAAGGGGACACTCATCAATCCCCGCTAGGTCGGTTCATTGTAAATGCAGCAGCCAGGGGCAGGGCGCCCGGTATGCCCCGGAGAGTGCCCATGTTCGGGCCCAACCGAGAACCGGTCTGCCGGCTTTCCAAGGCGAAGATGAGCTGGCACTGCCACGTGAAAGTGAGCCATGGGGCGCCCACCGGATCGGTTGTCATGGCAACGACCGGCACCGCTCAGCTGCTGCCACGTGACACGCGCTGGCGAATCCTGGGCGAATCTGCCGGCCGGAGGGCATCCCTGTAGGATAAAGTGCAGATAAGGGTTCTTTGACCATGTTGGTCAAAATCGGCATGGACAGAAATCATGGGAAAAAATGCAGAAAACTTCAAGGGCGGTGAATGGGTAAGTATGTTCTAGTTGGGCTCCAAAACGCTCTGGGCCAGCTCTGGGCAGATGAGAAGTGGGAACAGGGCAGGTCTTGCAGCTACTCAACATGACGACATCACAGTCAGCAGAAGCACCTGATCATGGACAAAACAAATCGACCATTGAATATGTACCTAAGTGAACTCTTGAACATCTGGATTATTGCAGATTCAATTCAACTAGCAAGAATCAGGTTTAGACTAGAGGGACAGCATGTTGGCTGTTGACACTCAACTTTCAGACAACTCCTGACAGGAGGTAAATCAAAATCAATGGGAACGGCACATCACGGATTTCAGTTACGCTGTCTGGTTGTAAGATCATCACCAGAATAACTAAGCCTCATAGAATAGGTATGAGCTAGGTAGACTGTAAACTCACGCTGTCACTTGAAGCCACAAGACTTTTCTTGATCTTCTTTAGTTTCTCGATTCCAGTCTTCACGAGATCTTCGTCGTCGTCAACCACCTGTCCCGTGATAGCATCAGTGGCCTTTTTGGGAGATTTCTTCTTCCTTTGGCGGAGATCTGAATCTTCAACAGCCATTTTGCTACAAAATGACTTACTGACACGTTGCAATTCGCAATAAGAAGCCCACAATCAGACCGCACCCGTGCGAACACCCAACACTCGCGACTTTTCACTCGCAACTGACGCTTGGCACAGTGCCAGGATACTGGTGATTTCTTGGTGAACTCTTTATATTTATGCAAATAGTGACTAGAATTCTAGGCAAAGTCACTAGTTTGAGAGACATTAAATCTCGCATAATGCAGGAGCTTTGTTCAATTCATTCATACGTATCTGCTACCGCTAGATAGATTTACAATTGCCATGGTGATTTGCTACAAATGTTCAAAATGTTCAGGAAGTTGAAAAAAAATAAACCGATGAAGCTATGAAGATATGATATTTCATAAGTTTCTTATGCTTGAAACACTAATCGACAAAAAATATTCAAAAATTTGTACCTGGAAAATATTTGACGTAAGAATCATTCACAAAATGTTCTGCAGCTAGAACACCTTACCTTACCTTACCTTACCTTATCGGTTATCGGGTAATAAGGCCACTAGGCCTGGAGGTCCCGCTCCCATCGAGCGTGTGTGACAGGTAAAGGCGAGGCTCTTAATGGTAGGGATTCGGGATGTCGTACATCTTGTTCGCCCAGTGTCGGTCCAGTCGTGCCTTGAACTGAACAACCGATGTGGCAGACACTACTGTGGACGGCAGGGCGTTCCAGTCGTTGACCACTCTTGTGCTGAGGGCGTTTCTTCGTGTCAGGGTGATCGCTCTGGGCTTGAGCAGTTTCCACTGGTGGCCTCTTGTTTGGTTGGAGGTGCTCTTGTGCAGGAACCGTTCGGGTTCCACTGCCATCTCGCCGTGCAGCAGCTGAAAGACGGTGATCATATCGCCTCTGCGTCGTCGGTAGTACAGCGAGGGGAGGCGAAGATGACGTAGTCGGTCCGGGTACGGGAGATGCCGGATGCTCAGAACCATCCGGGTTGCCCTGCGCTGCACCCGCTCCAGTTTTGCCTGGTCAACTCTGCCAAAGGGTCCCCAGATCAGGTTCCCATACTCCAGAAAAGGTCGGACCATGGACTTGTAGAGCAGAGGGAGAGTGACCTCATTGATGGTAGCGAAGGAGCGCTTCACGACAGCCAGCATCTGGGAGGCTTTCGCGATGGCAGCCGCTGTTTGCTGGTGAAACTTCAGGTCTTCGTCGATGATGATGCCCAGGTCCTTTTCCTCCGTAACTCCCTCGATGGCAGAGTCGTTCAGTCGGTAGGTTCTCCCAGGGTTGAGTCTGCCAATGTGCATCACTTTGCATTTTGAAGCATTGAAGGGCAGCAGCCACTTGCTCGACCAGCGGACGAGGGCGTCGATGTCGGCTTGGAACTCGGCGGAGTTTCCAGTCACGTGGCGGTACAATTTGGTATCGTCGGCGAAGAGCTTGATGCAGCCGGAGACCTGACCAGGCATGTCATTCACAAATATATTAAACAAGATCGGCCCGAGCACAGATCCCTGGGGGATTCCGCTGGTCACCGGAGTCCAGTCGGACTTCGCACCTCCGACGACCACCCTCTGTCGGCGATCGAGCAGGAAGGCGGCGATCCAAACCAGCAGTTTTCCCCTGATGCCATAGCCATGTAGTTTCGTGATGAGACGTTGGTGCGGGACAGAATCAAAGGCCTTGGAGAAGTCCAGGTATGCGACATCGATCGGTTCCCCGGCCTCCACAGCAGCGCTCCAGTCCTCCATCACCTCAAGCAGCTGGGTCGAGCAGGATCTCTTCGGGAGAAACCCATGTTGTGCCTTGTGGAGGAGCCCTGCATCAGAAAAGTGCTGAAGGAGGCGGTCGCGAATGATGGATTCCATAACTTTCGATGGGACCGAGGTGAGACTGACTGGCCGGTAGCTCTCTGGTCTCTGGCGGTTCCCCTTCTTGTAGATGGGAGTAATCTCACCTGTCTTCCAGTCTGGTGGCAGTATACCAGAGTCAAGAGACTTCCTGAACAGGACACTGAGTGGAAGGCAAACCATCGAGGCAGCTTCGCGAAGTACCCTGGGGTGCACGGCGTCTGGGCCCGGGGCACTGTTAGGCCTTAGAGCGAGCAGTTTTGCCTTTACCTCCTCAGCAGACACTTCAATGTCTTGCAGCATGGGTCCCTGGAAACCTAAGTCAAAGTGAGGGCAGGAATGGTCAACTGGCGTAAATATGCTGCTGAAGTACCTGCTCAGCAGATCCGATTTTTCTTGGTTGTCGGATGTCAGGGTCCCGTTTACGTCCCGGAGTTCCTCGATTCTGCTTCTGGTTTTCAGCCTTGAGTTCGAGTATCTCCAGAACGCTTTTGGGTTTTGCTTCAGCTGTTCAACTAACTTGGTTTCGTATTCTTTTCTGAGATACCTTGTGAACTTTCTGAGCCTGTTTCTGCATCTCGTAAACCTGGCGTAATCCAGGGCGTCGCCGGATTGACGGTATTTGCTCCACAGCTCCCTCTTTTGCTTTCGTAGCTGCATAGCTGTCCTGTTCAAGTACATGTTCTTTTTCTGTCCGAACACATTTATAACAAACAAATTCGTTCGCGTTTGAAAGGTTTGCAGGAGGCAATGCAAAGCCAAATATATTTGTTTACAATTGGCTGCATAATTGAAGTTTAAAATCAGAGCTGATTCAGAATGAAAATGCGCCCGTTGGAGATTTCAGTTTCTTGTCCCCTTTGCAATTGCATTTACTAATTCTCTGTAAACTTCACCACTCTCTCTGCGCCGCAAATGTCACATAGCCACAACAATTTTTGTCAAAGTAAGATCAGTAAGTGAGTGAGATATGATATATGACACTTCTTGCATTCTCCTTACTCAATACAAAACAATCAGACTGGATAACCAAAATGCCTGCCTCACACCCAGTTGATACAGAAATTCATTCTGGATGGATGAGTGGGCGCAAGGTCAAGGTCAGGGTGGAGGCTGTGGTCTGGGGCCGTACTATTTTCTGGTCAAATTGCTAGCTGGCGCGGTTTAGCAATGGTGGCACTAGCAGAGCTTGTTATACATAAATGCCAGATATAAACAACTAAATATTTATCTTGAGTGCCATTTTACATGTTCATGTCTATCTCATTCTCCTACCATGTTTAGATCAATAAATGACATAGCTAACGTATGTCGCCAGCTGGCCAGTCAGCTTATTTTATCCACTGTTATTAGTAAAGCCCATGGTCTGTGTGGACTTGGGTCCTATCATCTTTTGAGTTGTGAGGATTGTGGATCTCTCAAGCTACAAGCTTGAACTCTTTCTTTAAAAAAAAAACATTGCAACAGATTTGGGGTTTTCTTATCCATTCGGCAATATTGATAACATCAAAATCAACACTGTCATATGACTATTCAAATAGCTGGTGACTGGTGTACTCCCTCGACAAATCTTTTTGATAATTTAAATACCTAGCTGGGAGTAATTGAAGATCCACTGTTACAATGGAAATCAGATGGATTAGTAACCTTTTGCTCATAACTAATGTAAGCCAAAAACAAATCCAAAATATATTTTCGGTGCTGGACCTTCTTCAGTGGAATCCACTGAAGAAGGTCCACTGAAGAAGGTCCAGCATTCCACTGAAGAAGGTCCAGCACCGAAAATATATTTTGGATTTGTTTTTGGCTTACATTAGTTATGAGCAAAAGGTTACTAATCCATCTGATTTCCATTATAATCATAATCATGCTCAAAAAAACGTTTCACACCATTCAATCCACTGTTACCTTTAACATACACATACTCACAAGTCACACATGCATTTTAGATAAATTCAACTTAATGGTACATGGCTCAACTGGACAATTGCCCTTTTGACTCCTTTTTTGTGTTGTTAGAACTTCTTTAATTGTTCAGTGATGTTCTATCTGCAATAAACCCTTGAGATTGATAAGTAAAGTGAATTGATTTGTTCAAATGAATCCCAAAATCAAATGAAATTAAAATCGAGGTGAGAGCAGGTTGGTAGTGGTTTTTATTTGTTTGATGCCTTTTAGGTGAAGTTTTATTTTGCATGTGTGAAGTTTTAATGCAATGTTATTCTAGTCATCATAAATAGTTGGAATAATTTATCAGGCAAATGAAATATTTAGTGGGTACTTGAATTTTGACCATAAAGTAACTTACTGCCCTGACTGCTTTGTAACATTGTCAAATAATGATTGTCAGATGAAGGACTGATGAAAAATAAGCCTGAGCTGAAGACATCAAAGACTCTGCAATGGATGCTTATCATACACCAACTAAAAGCAAAGGTGAGAAAATCTAATTCCTGCATGATTTGTGGATCATGGCATGTTTATGTAGCTTCATAATATAAATTGAGAGTGCTTGATTTAAGCTTTGAAGTTAGTAACATATGCATGGATTGATGGATCTGTATTCTGATCCATTTTAAAGTACCTAACAAGTATTTCCAATTTTTAGGTATTTCATTGTGAACTAGCTTCTCATGAACACTGAATAGGTATGGTATTATTATTTTGTGAAGCTCTTTTTGGAATAATGTTGACTAGTGAAGCCATCGTCTGAAGAATCTTCACTGACCTGCCAGCTCTGCCCGAACCGCAGGGGCCGATGGGAGCGTGCCGTCCACCTCTGGCGTCTGTTCGTCCACACCGACGGCGCCGAGCCCGTCGGTGCGCCGGCGCGCGCCGTCACCCTCGGCCACGCCGGTGAAGGTGGAGCCGCCGTCGCCGCCCTCATCACCGCCGCTGGCGCTGCGGCCGCCCCCCTCCGAGGCGGCTGCTAAGATGGTCAACAACCTTCGGAGGAGCGTGGAGAGCGTGGTGCACCGGCTGCAGCAGCGACCGATCGTGTACGCGGCGCCGGCACTGCTGCTCGACCAGCCCGCCACGGTACATACGAGTCGGCCCCCTCAACGCTAGGGGTGTTGTGCCTTGGGGAATGAGAATAGGGCGCTATTAGTAGATTCGCGAACATTTTTGTGTTTGCTCGTCTTTCATTTTGTTCGGTGTAGTAGGTATATTGTCTCAGGAACTTATGGTAATATGGTATACGTTCTGCTGTCACGTGAACCCCTGACGTTCACTGTTCATTGTGCATGCCTCTTATCACCAGTCAGCCCCCAGCTACCCTCCGTCCTGACCCTCCCGGGCCGGTGTCACAGGTGGACCGGCGCACTGCCGAGTCCCCGCGGCTCTGTGACGACTTCTGGAGCCACCTGGGCGGCAGTCCCGACTCGAGACGTCGCCGCGGCGCGCCGCCGGCCGAACTGTCCGAGGAGGAGCACCGCCGAAAGCTGCTGTACGCCGTGACATCGCTGGAGACGCGACTCAGTGGCGCCGCCTATCCGTCGGCGGAGGTACTCAGCTACCTGCTGCGACACTGCAAGGTGCGTATCACATCGGCACAGATTGTCGGTGTGTGGTTGCCTGTTGGTATGATGGAGAGAGGGACTTTGTTAGGGTTAAATAGGGTACAGCTGAGCCGTTCGTGTTGTTTACTTTTCAGTTGATTGATCCTCAGTGAACTCACTACCATCATATGATAAGCCACTCACAGGGTTACAGGCTTACAGGCTCACTCTGCACTTATCACGGCTGAGTAGGCCATTGAGTTCGCCTCTCCACCTGCTCCCCTCCCCCTCCCCAGGCCGACTGCGAGCTGGAGGTGCGGCGCCGCTGTCTGCGCGCGCTCCGCAGGATCGCCTTCCTGCACCCGCCGCACGGGCGTCGAATGCGCGTCTTGTACAAAGCCGTGCTGGCGGGACCAGAGGAGGTGAGACGCTCTGACCTCATACCGACCGCATGACCGACAGAAATGCGGGCTTTACTGGATTATGATAAGGGAATGACGGATAACGGCGCTCTTTCGAGCGGGGTCGTGTGGCTCACGGAATTGCTTCCTGAATTGCAGAGATTAGCGGGGAGTCGGTGACCTAGGAAAAGCCGCATGGGTGTGCTTTGTGCACCTTTCAATCCTCTTGGCTTCAGCTGACTTATTTTATCACTTAGGCCAAACTACAGAAAGACGGCATCGTTAAGTGATTGCTCATTGATCAAGTCGAGACAGACGGTAAACATACGTGACACATTTTGAGTCCTAAGATCATTGTAAAGGAAACCCACTACCTACTGTATCATTGCTTAGTGCTTACACAAAACACTAGCGACAAAATTACCATTTTTAGATGGACAGCGCCTCCAGGCTCCAATGAGCGCTCTGTCTATCTCCCATCTCCCGGCCCGCCCCCACCCGACCGTCAGGACTGGAGGCCGCTGCGCTCCTCCATAGAGCGGTGTCTGCGGTCGGCCGGCGGCGGTGCGGCCCCGGCACCGAACAGACGCCGCCGGGACCCTGAACAGACGGGCGCCGAGGTCTCTCAGGAGCAGCGCCTGCTGGACACCGAGCTGCTGGACCTGCTGGTCAGCCTGCTGGAGGAGGATGTGATCTTCTGGTGGCGGGCCAGCGGAAGGTGAGCGCACGGAGAAGTTGCTGCCGTTGGCTTGTTGCGTATGGTTCCCAGTGAGCGGTAGTAATCTTCATTTTGCATTCTCCAATCTTATAAATACTCCTAAGGTATGACGTGATGACGCGCCTTATATGCGTTGCAACATTTGCATCTCGTTCTGTTCGGTTAACGACCCTCTATCTGAGGAACGTAGCTAGGTGACAACCTACAATCTGCATGCCATACGAGTATACTCACTCACTGTCCACTGATACTCATTAGTCATCCATCCTATCCCCCGCGCATGGCCTCTGTACCCCCGCGGCGCGGCGCTGACGGTGGCCGGGCCGTGTCGGCAGGCTGAAGCCGGCCACCCAGCTGCAGGACCTCCGTCCGGCCGTCTGGCCGCTGCTGGTATCCGCCCTGTGGACGGCCGACCAGCAGCCGGGCGCCTCGGTGGCCGCCACGCGCGACCTCTGCCGCTGGCTAGTGGAGGCGCACGCGCCGCGCGACGAGCCCCCCGATATGGTCACCCGACGGTTATTGCTGGTAAGTGGGGCCGGGTAGCGCTCGGGAGGGAGGGTTGCATATGGACGGACTGAATATCGCTTACGTCATTACATATATGTTCAAAGCTATCCATCAGGCACTGACGTCATGTGCCATACTGATTTGTCAAATATGTGTCCTCTCCTGTGTGTGCTAATTCTTTTATTTAAGGTGTGATTGTTCTGTGATAAGTTTATCCTCATTGCTTAGACTGATTATTGTTACATTTTGAATAGTACATTCCTTCGATATCTTGACGATAAATAATACTGTTATTGCTGCCTGATGTCGCTATCATCCGTACTTTCTCATGCGTCATTCGTCCTTTCTCACCCCGCCATAGCGTCTCGCTCTGCACCCGACCTTTGACCCTTGTGTGACCTTTGTGCGGCAGCGTCTGATGGCCATGGCTGCCGAGGTGACCCGAATCCGGGGTCAGCACAGCCTCCTGGAGGTCACGGACGACATGCGGGCGATGGCCGGTGACCTGACCCGCGCCGTGCTGGAGAAAAGTCAGTACTGTGGAGCGAGGGTCGGGAAAGGCTGCCGCCGGCTGGGATAGTTCTCGTTGAAATGTTACCTTATGCTGCGACCTACTAGTTCAGTGTTCACCTATTGCACTGTCTCGCTGCCGGTCGTGTTTCCCATCACCATCTAGCCTGGGTGCAGGAAGTAATCTCTAACTGACACTCCACCACCCCTCCCCCCTCGTTCTCCCCGTCCGCCCAGGTGACCTCTGTCCCGTGTGGCCTCTGACCTCTGACCCCTCCGACCTCTGACCCGGCTGACCTCTGACCCGGCTGACCTCTGACCCCTCCGACCTCTGACCCGGCTGACCGCTGACCTACCCCCGTCTCTGCCGTGCCGCAGACCTGGAGCCGTCAGCGGTGGAGGAGCTGCTCTGCGAGCTCCGACCCGCCTGGCTGGTGGCTCGGCTGGCCGCCTGGCGTCTGCATCAGCGTCACGGCCGCCGGTGGCTGCCCGGGCCGCTGACACTGGAACTGATCCACGACCACTTTCTGACGGAGCAGGAGAATCGCACCCCGACCGCGGACGAGGTGAGACCATCGATGGGGGAGGAGGCGGGTGGACCCAAGCGACAACTGTCTGTCTTGCTGGAGTCCTGACGAGCAAGTAACTGCAGTCCTCAATGTCGACTTGTTCGAGCCCCCACAGGCGAGGTATAGCTTCAGCCGCCAATGTATTGTTCGAGTCACCACGGACAAGTAACTGCAGTCCTTGCGTTGTTCAGGCCCTTGCGGACGAGTAGCATGTAGTCCTCAATGTCTTGTCCGATCCACCACGGGCAAGCACCTGCAGTCCTCCGCATGAATACCAATGAATGTTCACACCCTTCGGCAGAGAGGTGTGCGTTTTGTTGGCTCGAACGGCGCGCTGACGGCGCCGCGTCCGGCTCTGAAGCGGGCCCTGTTTTCGCCCACCGGCAGCCCGGCCAAGAAGGCCAGGGTCACCTGGAGGCTCGGCGAGGGCGAAGGTGGGAACTCATTCGGAGGGGCGGTATCGAGTGACGTCGCCATTGGATGCTGAAATTGAGAATATGGCGTCCACTCTACCCGGTTACAACGGTGGTGTGGTTTATTGAAATTATAGATCAACCAAATGTACAGACAAAATAACTGCGAGTTAATAAGAAAATAAAGTAACAGTTGCGATCGCATGGTAATAAAAGTCTTGCAATGTTCAAGAAATGGTAGCTCGATGTTGGTGAAGAAGTTTGCCACCATAACACAACATGTAGTCTGTCTTTGCCGCTCGGCTACTGTATGCTCGTTGTGTTTGGTCCTCCCTTTTCTGATCCGCCGCGTGTCGTGCCGCCAGGTGAGGGCGACTCTCTGGGCTCTGTGGACTTGACCACGCGCAACACCACCGACCGTGAGTACTCTGTGCTGGTCTACCACCTGCTCTGTGCCCACCTGCTCCACACGGGACTGCCAGAGGTGCGCGTGCACATGACGGGCCGCCTGCTGCGCGAGGGGGCCGAGGCCGGGCGCACTGTGGTGGCTGCGCCGTCCTCCTCACGCGTCAGCAATGTGGACCTCGTCGCCTACCGCCGCGAGCTGGAGTGGATCCAGGACAAACTGTGGCGGCGCGACGGCGCCACGCACCTCGACCCGCTCTACCTGCGCTACATGAAGATGATCACCAATCTGTGATGAGCGCGTTCAAAAGAGGAGACCTGGTGCGGCCATGTGGAGATTAATATCGGGACGTATCTGGTGAAGAGGATTCGGCCAGATACAAATAGGACGACTTTTCGGGTCGATGGAACGAGATGCTTTACTGCTTGGGTGCTTTCTTAGAAGTGTAGCTGTCCTGGGGCGGCCCGAAGACGATCTAGCAGTGGCAGAGACTGTGTAGATCGCTGCCGTCACGGTGCTGTTGCCAGAACGGAATATGATACTCGGGTATCATACCCATTCACTCATTCGCGTCCATTGTGTATCAAAGCCAAGAGAGAAGGAAGAATAGTGAATGGTACAAAGTCGTACAAATCATTCATTCCCCCAGTAATCATTTTTCATCCTAGAGGTGTTATGCCTGCGACTTCACATGCGAGTTTCATGAGCTGGGATGTGCACGATGATGCTAGTTTGAGGTAGTTGATATTAAATCAGAGTTAGCTGAGAGTGAGGGCTGCAAAGCAATCCATTTGAAGTAGACATTAGGGTTGGTCTGCTTGGCCCACTGCCACAGCGCTCCAGTTCATCAACTGATCAGGTCACCCTGCTTACAGAAATTCCCATGATATTCCTATTTATTTTTAAGCTAAGATTCGCCGCTTGCTTTGCGACAAGATGCGCGATGCTATCGCTGATTTCGTTATTTTATTGTTACTGGTGACGTGCGTTTTCCTCCTTTTTTGAGATTTTTGTCTTTTCTACGAATGTTAAGCTGTTGAGAAGTTGCCTTTGGGTCCTCCATTTCCAAAGCTGGATTCGCCCATTTAAAAAATCCCGTTTGGGCCCCGGCCAGTTGCGCCCTGTTTGATATGATGATGAACTAATGCTGAATTTCCGATCATCGGAGAGGTGGTGCACAACTATTCGCAGGTGGCGAACGTGCGCCGTTAACATACTCATCAATGGGGAGCATCAACTTGGGCTTTCAATAGACAATAATAGACAATAGACAATTTATTCAGGACATTCCACGTGCACATGTGGCTATTACTGCCCGTCGTCAATAAAACAGATGGTGATAAAAAACGGTAAAAGATGATGAAAGGGAAACACACGTGCAGATAAACAGTCATGCTGGCTAGACAGTGTTTTGCTCCTCGAGCAGATGGGTACGCAAGTGACGTCCGAAAGCTCCAGGGGGCAGTCGGGTCAAATCAGGTGGCAGCGAGTTGAGGGCAGCCGGCGCTCGGCAGGTGAACCGGCGTTTGCCCATCTCTGTACGGGATCGCGGCACGTGCAGGAGCGCGTCCTGCCGGGTACTGACATCAGCGTCCCCGCCGCGCGCCTCCGCCACAGTGGTCAGACTGTGTGCCAGCACCTCCGGCTCGGCGTAACACCGCACTTTGTGCAACAGGCACAGGGAGTGGTAGGTGACGAGGTTCTCCGCGCTGAGCCAGCGCAACTGGCACATCAAATCGGAGACATGGTCGTACTTTTTTCGGCCGAAAATGACTTTGGCTGCGTAGTTTAATATTTTTTGTATCCGAGAGAGATTGTGTCTGGTGCAAGCACCATATACTGCGATGCAGTATCGAATTTGGGATATGACCAGTGCGCTGACCAGCACGGAGATCACAGTGGGCGGTAGGTGCCCCCGGAGATGCGAGAGACCACCCAAAACTCCAAAGCAGCGTTTCGTGAGCGTTGTGATATGATCACCCCAGGTCAGGTGACGATCAAATATGATGCCGAGGTTTTTGACTGAGATAACTGGGGATAACTCGTGATCGCGGTACTTTACTTTAAATTCAGGCAATGTACGAAGATTTTGGGGGCTGCCCAACAGCATCAGCTGGGTCTTAGCGGCGTTGACTTTTAAACCGTTGGCCCGGAACCAACGGTCCAGAGAGGCCAAGGTGTCCTCCATACGAGTGACGACAGATTGAATTTGGGATTTTTTGCCGCTTACTAGAATTTGTGTGTCGTCTGCGTATTGAACTACTACTGCGCCCTCGGCAAACTGACTAAGGTCGTTAGCGAAGACGCAGTAGAGGAGGGGGCCTAAGGCTGAACCCTGAAAAACTCCGATGCTGTTGGGCAGCGGGCGGGACTTTTTGACTCCACCGTGATTGTCAGTGAAGCTGACGCTCTGAATGTGGTTTTTAAGATATGCAGAAAACCATGACGTGTTAATTCCGTGTGCCTGTAATTTTGAAAGGAGTTTCGAGTGGTCAATCACATCAAAACATTTGCTCAAGTCCAGCAGGCAGAGAAGGGAAACCTCTCCATGGTCAGATGCTGATAGGATATGGTCGGAAATGGATGCGAGCGCGGTTTCCGTGGAGTGATGGGGTCGGAAACCGTGCTGGTTCGGAGATAGGAGATGGTTTTCGGACAGGTAGGAATAGAGCTGTTGGTGAACAGCTCGTTCTAGGATTTTGGTGATGACAGGTACGATGGATATAGGACGGAAATTGGACGGGTTAGACAAATCACCGGATTTGAGGATGGGATGGACAAGGGAATGTTTCCAGGACTGCGGGACATCGGATTGGGTTATGCTGGAGTTGAGCAAATGTAGGAGCACCTCACCGATCGACTCAAAACACGCACGGAACACGTGTATACTGACGCCGTCCTCGCCGCAGGCCGACGAGCTGCTGAGTCCGAAGACGACAGCACGCAGCTCCGACAGCGATAACGGCGCCAGCACAAACGCACAGGCGCCCACACGCGGCAAACGGCAAGGGGCGGTCGGCAGATCACCCGACCCACGTACCTCGTCAGCAACTCGCGGTCCGACACTGACAAAATACTCATTCAGGTGGTCCGCCGATGTGCTGGGCACAGCACGCGACCCCCGCCTACTACCCACGTATGGTCTAATAATGCGCCACATGCCCCGGCGCCCGCTCTCCCGAATGCGCCGTTCCACGTCATCACGGCTGTCACGCCGGATGGCGCTGCGTACCGCCCTGTTCGCGTTGCGGTATTCACTCGAACCGTGCCCGTATTGCGCTAGCGCCCCCCGACGGCGACACATCAAATCCTTAGTGGCGTCGGACACAAAAGGGGCGGTAGGGTTCCGGATCTTAACGGCTCTGACGGGGGCGTGGGTGTTAAGAACGGGCAAAAAGGTCGTCAAAAAGTTACTCCACTTATCGGTGACACTAGGTGCGGAGAAGACAGCGATCCAATCGGCGTTTGCGAGGTCGAAGTTCAGCATAGTAAAATCAGTTCTTCTAAAACTGCGCGAAAGTATCACAGTTGGACAAGTATCACTTTCAACGGCATATTAAAAAGATTGGATATTCAAATTGATTTCTCGGAAAAGAGCCGAGCCATTTCGGTTTTCGAGTGTAAGGCATTTCGAACTATGGATATGATCTGTGTGGAGATTACGTTTTTATGATTATTTACGTCGCAGTAATAAACAACAAAGTGGCTACGGATCGTTTATGACATTGTGTTTGAGTCATGGCATTTTATCTCGCCGTAAAGCTATCGTCTCACTGCGTGATACTCATTGTTGTGTCGATAAAACCCAGAAGGCAGAACTAGTTGACTGTTATGCACGCAAATGACCCCACAGTTGACGTGTTTTAAGCCCCAAATAACTAACGAATGACAACCAAAAGAATATGCTGCTGGTCCTGGTGCATGAAAACCAAAACAGGTAGACGCGTGATGCTGTAAACTTCAAACCAGCCTCGCATTCTTTTTTTTTCTTACTTTCTGGCCCCAGCTCTCGGTGGCATTAAAAATAAGTTTTAAACTAAAATAAAGTTACATGGTGCCTTGCAATCTTGTCATTTCTTGGAGCTTGATTGTTGCGGAATCTAAGGAATGGGCAGCAGTCGCTTCAGACGTGATGCATTAAAATATGTACTGATTTCCTAGCCCTCGCCGGCCGAGGGGGGGGGGCAGGTGCCCCCCCCCCCCCCTAGGGTATTTCCGCGATAGCTCCGAACACGCTGGCGATAGAGAGCTGAAACTTGGCATACCTGACCTTTGATTCAAGCCGGATCTTTTGACACCAGCCGCATTTTCAGGTCAGGTCAGGCCACTGACCTATGACGTCATAAGTGAACCTCTGCACGGTCTTCAGATGTCGCAACTTCGCAACGCCCTCACTGCCAGAGGAGCTTTCACAGGGAAATGAAACATGCAGGATCTAGTATTCATTACGGGTCTCACAACTTGTATATCTCGGATTTTTCCTAAAGGTCATATGAGGTCAGGTCATTTTCGTGACCTCACCATTATAAGTCAATAGGGAAAATGAAAACTGCTATTCTGGCGCCGGTAACGATCTCCAACTACCTCAAACACACATAATCGTGATTTGATGCACTCCTTGCCAGGTTAGATGCGTCACTTTTGCAATGTTGACCTTGCGTGACGTCATTTATGACGTCATCAAGGTCATATTAGTTTTTCGTCAATAACTCCCGATCAAATTGAGCTAGCGAGTCGGGAAAGCCACCAATGGACTCAGGAAGACCTGCCGAATCGAATGATATGCGACATGACCTCTTTCGACCAACTTCGTGACCTGGGGGCGCTGACCTGACCTTGACCCGAGGTCAACACCCTAAGTTGACCTGACCCAAACAAAAAGTATATCATTCGACGCGCCTGAGTGAGGCGAACACGATGCCACCAAAATCGGCGCTCTGCGGCCGTTTTTTTGCTAAGTTATTAACCAAAAACTGAACCGTACCTTGGGGCACTTGACCTGACCTCAGAGGTCACCAGTTGACCTAGGAACTTAAAATCGGGTACCAATCTCTGCGTCTCGTAACGGCGCACATGCTCGTTTTTTCCGCGACGCGCTAGCTCCACCAGGGGCGAAACGGCGAGGGGGGTCGTACCCGCCCCCCCCCCCCTCGGCCGGCGCGTATGTAGAAAACCAATAGGTCCGGCGAGGGCTAGTTCACACTCAAATCCTTCCAAAATGAATGCAGCACCTGAAACTACAACCTACTTGAATAACCACTGATGAGAGAGATGTTTCTGGAAAAAGGCCATAAAAATTATCTGGCTGGTTTGACGATGTCCTATTTACCGAAGGATTTCTGACCGGTAAAGTCACAGCTCACAGTCCTGGGCCCAATCTTACCAAATGCCGTGGATGCGCATTCACGGCATTTGGTAACATTCAGAAATATTCCACGTTCACTTATTCATTCGTTCAGGTAACATTCATAATCATTCACGCTATCAAAATCATTGGACAAGATTAGCTGAATGAAAATAAAAATGTAAATCTTACCAAATCCTATTTACGGCATTGGTAAGATTGGGCCCAGGAGCAGCCTTGTGTCTTCGTGCGCATCTATCCTTAATTCGTGTATGGTTTACCTCGCCAAGCTTCTACAGGCTCGACGACGGAGGCGGCTTTCTGTCGACAGCTCTCCATCTTCCGGAGCGCTGAAGAGCGAAGAAACTTTATTCGTTTATTCGGAAGTTTATTCGGATACGACAGAAGCAAATGGAAAAGCTTATGAGTATGACACCCATTAACTGCACTGTGATAAGAACAAACACACTATTTTCACTTTAAACCAGGAATAAATAATCACTCACCGCACCAGTCCTGACAATGGCATCACATTTTGTTGAAATTTCATCAACACACATTGCACGTAGTGTAGCTGCCTATCGAACGAACGCCACAGATCAGCACCAGGAGTGCCAAGTGAGGCGCTAGCTCCCATTCCGTCCACCTGCACCTCTTGTCTGGGTCCGGCCGGACCGGCATCTTCTGCGCGGGCCCTGTACGTTACTGGAAGTGGCGCACACAACGGCAAAAGCGAACGGATCACAGTTACGGAATCACCATGTGAATACTGAATAATCAGAATCAGTGACGTATTATGGCGGTGACACAGTGTTAGAATCGAAGTGTCTCAGTGACGGAATCAGCACAGTGTCTCTAATGGAATCGATGGAGCGAAGTTTAGATTTAAGAGCCGAGGCTATGCCTCTAGGCATTTGGGGTCATGGCAATATTCGTCGCCCCTTGTCCCAACAGTGCATTATTATTGGCAGTGTTTTGCGTCTTATGCGTATGTTTAGGCCTCATGTTGGCGAAAGTCCACTAAGTGATCTCGCACTAGCTGCGATATACGTGCATCGATAGTCTTTCACATGGTTTCTGTACGCCTCGCCCCCTCATGAATTCATGATGATTAAATAAACACTTCAAAGCACAAATAAAGACAAACTCGCCGGCTAGTCACTCGCAGCTACAGGCTAGCCTTAAGCCTACATGAGCCGGCGTCTACAAGCCTAGTGCCGGCGGTACCGTGCGCAGCGCCTCCGAGCGGGCCATCCTCCGCCGTTGTTCCTGAGCATTCACCACTTCTTGCGGTCTGGACTGACACCGCGGCCGTCCTGCTGAGCGCACGTCGCCCGGGCACAGGCGCTGCTGCTCCGCCGCCCCGCAGCTGTGTCGGCGGCGGCGGCCGACCCCGCTAGTCGACGCTGCGGGAGCTGTAGCTGACTGGCTGAACGTCCATCTCCAGGGCCGGGTTGTCGAACCCGTTGCCCGTCGGCTTACCGTTGAACTGCAGCGTCGCGTCGGCCGACTTCTCTGGTGCCGAGTCGTCGGCCTGGGCGGAACGGCAGCAGCGACAGCGGGCCGTCAGCGCCGACACCAGCCGGTCGTACGGCGCCAGACTGCGCAGCGGCTCCGGCAGGAACTCCCAGGTGCGCAGCGCGTCCGGCAGCAGGCGAGGAGCGCGCCGCTGCAGCAGGTTCAGCAGGCCGACGGCTAGCGCCAGCACCGCCACCAGCGCCAGCACCACGTACAGCACCACGGCGCCAGCCAGCGAGAGACCGAACACGACCAGCGGCAGCAGCAGGAACATGCCCAGCAGGTAGGCGACGGCGAACCAGCGGTAGTCGGCCGTTATATTACCCAGGCCGCGCGCCAGCGGGATCGGCCAGCGCATGAACGGCAGCACGTAGAAGAGCAAGATGCCCGAGATGTTGAAGAAAAAGTGCACCAGCGCGATCTGAATGCTGGGTCGGAGTGTGTCCCCTGAGGCTGCCAGCGCCGCCAGGATGGCCGTGGTCGTCGTACCAATGTTGGAGCCGAGCGTCAACGGGTACATCCTGTCCAAGGAGATGACGCCCACGCCGACCAGCGGCGTCATGGCCGAGGTGAAGACGGAGGAGGACTGCACCAGGATGGTCATGCCGCAGCCCACCAGGATGGCCAGGTAGCCGGTCAGCCACGGCATGTACGGGATGTTGGCGTTGAGCGTCTTGCGGATCACGACAGCGATGCTGCCTGTAAATGGAGAGAAGATAGAGATCAGCGGCTTGGCAAATGCTCAGCTTCCTCCAGCTGCATTTCAGACTAATGTACTAATGTAGAGGCGTTTTCAGTGCCTTCCTCTACTGTTTCTGTTTCTGGCTAAGTTGCTTATTTTTTAATGCTTCTTAAGGGATAACTGTGATTTAAAATGTTTCGGTTTAATTTGTAAGGAAGAGACGAAAGCACTCGCTTCGTTTCGCTGTAAAAGACTGATGCATGTCGTAATTCCATGATGAATGATGACAGTTCTGTGTCGATTGGACGTTACATGCTTAAACATCAGCGAACTTCTGAATACTGATAGATGAAGAGAGCCGTAATCTCCGTAGCGCGAGTATTCCTGTTCTATGGCTGCACGCGCGTCAGTAAAAAGCAAACGCTCAGAGGTCGGATCTCCTGAACGTAGGATCCCGCAATCAGTGCGGTCGCATTCTATGTTTGTCACAGTACTGTTAGATCAAATGTTTATCCGCGGGTATCTTCCATATGCTTTCAAAACTTTACACGCGATTCCTCATTTCACACTGAATCATACAGGTCGCTCGACAGGCGGCAGCACATTTTTCTGTCTATTCGTATTTCCGAAGTTGGCGTCTTTCACTTACCCTTGAGTAGCGTGTGCAGGATCTTCACCATAAGCACGAGACAGCCGCAGAGCAGGACGAGCGCAATCACCAGGAGGATGAGGCCGACGTACAGGTCCGGCAGGTCTGTCAGACTGAACAGCGAGTGACCTGGCGAGGCGAGGCCAAGTCAGTGGTGGTTATTTCTTCTCGAAACTTAACGATCTTGCGTTGGTGTAGATGGGATATTTATTGTGGTTTTTATCTTGTGCAACCAACTGCGTTAATATCAACGTTCAATTATTCACTATTTATAATGTTTTCAATTTGTATTTTTATATCGGCTAGTAGCGCGGCTAGTAGAATCCAAATCACCCCATGCAAATGTTCATGCCATGTTTGGGTACCCTGAATGAAGCTATTCGGCGAGATGCGCCCCGCTCGCGCTGCCTGAGGGCCCACCCACATCCCGAATGCTTTACTTACATCGTTCCAGCGGCACCTTGACCGTCTCCGTGACGTTATTCACGCCGAGCACCGTGGTCGTCTCGTACTTGCAATAGTGTTTCACCAGCGAGGCGTCAAAGTAGCGCGAATCGTTCAGCGCCCAGCCAGTCAGCACCTTCTTATCTGTCTGCGGATGGACAGACGAAGGGAAACGTCATGTTTGAGTCGACTAGTTTTTATATCGGCATTAAGATTTGCTGGGAATTGGCTCCAAGTCGAGGTTCAACAGGTGACGAACACAACAAATCAGCAGCATCGTCAGGGTCGTACCTTGATGACAAGGGACGTGAAAGGCGAGGTGATGACCTTCAGTAGTTTCAGCTTGTGGCCCTTGGCTGTGTCCAGGTTGACTGAGTTCAGGATAGCGTCAGTCATCAGCTCCAGGTAACCTGCAAACGCATCGAGAAGGCGACGTCAAATGAAGTCCTCACAGTAGCTCATATCCTCGTCTATCGGATAACATTACACGAGGAAGATGCTTGACCGTCATCAGCTCTCGGAATGCTTACGTTTCTACTTTCTACCAATCGATGTTCATTGTTGGCATTAGATGCTCGATCACACGACGTTTCAACGCTGAACGGCTTAACTCGGCACTCGCTTTGCCTTGGATGATTGGCATGACATGGTTCTACTATCACCTGACCTTGACCTCACGCATTGCTGACCTGACCTGGGTCACATCTTACCTTGACCTGACGGGTTAATGGCCTGAATGATAAGCTCCAGCGGCAGCAGACTGAGGACGGCCAGCCAGTTGAACATGTCGTGAACGGTGGCGCCGCCAAAGGCCCGGCGAAACTCATTACGGTCCGCCACCTGGCGAACAAACAGAGAAGCTTCAGTGCGCCACTTTTCGTGCGCCACTTTTCGCACCAATCTACATTTTCAGCCTTCAGGCTAAAATCATAGCGCCGAACACTATCAAGTATCAACGATCATCTTCAGTTCAGTTGTCCAGTTCTCTGCGTGTATTTTTACCTAGATACATTCAACATGTAACTTATACTTTTTCATTCGTTGGGGCGGATATGACTACTCGATCACGCCCTTGACGAGCAAGGCTGCGCAATTAATAACCCGCTCCAAACCGGCAGCCACTGTGACAGTGACACAGCGGCCGTCATTAGAGAAGCCCAGCTGGTCTTCCCTGCACAGTGACGGTTTGGGAATTGGGATCCACTGCGGGCCAGCGGCGGTGTTTTTCCCACACGACCTTGGGTCCCCGTCATAGTGTCTTCCGGTTCCAAAGTTGACCACGTCAACCGGCAGTGACTGCCGGAACTAAATGTCCCTTTCCTCAAGTACCACTGTAAAAAAAATTCACTAGCTAATTTTGAAATAAGGCATTTTTTACGAGTGCCTCCCTTGCTCCTCGTTACAACATATATGGACATTAGTAGTCAGAGCCATGCACGTTAACAATGCCGCTTGTGGAACAAATGCCTACGAGCGAGAACATGTTCAGGAACCTAATTTTGCGCAGTGTTAATGAACTACGCACAGCCTCACAGTGTTACCCGCCGTTGGCTTGTTCTCGGCCAGTTTTTAGCGTGTCCCTCAATTAGGTCATTTCGCTATTAGCTCAGCTGACGAGGCCCCGGCTGGCACCTACTAAACGGATAACCTTGCGTGCAACCCCGCTTGTTGTCACGAACGCCTGCAGCTAGTAAACGTGCTGGCAAGCTTGTGTGGTAAGCGGCTTCGGATGGCTATGAGGATGTGCCTCATAGCTATCCTCGTCGCATGTTACAACCTAGGAGTCTGTGGCTGCTTTCAGAAGGAGTCCCCCCCCCCCCCGCTTCCGGGAGCCGGCGTCCATTTTGTGTTGCGTCGCCATTGCTGTGTGTGTCTGCCCAACTGCTCTTTGGCTTGATTGAAGCCTGAAGGTGAGGCATCTTGTATCATTTGCTGTGTGCTCAACAAAAAGGTTGTCCATTTGTAAACAAAAGTTATTATGTTGTTGAGCTTCTTAGAAGATGTATAAGTATCGCATAATGTTGCCCGTCGTTGGCAGAAGTGCGCCGGTATCGTCTATCCAAGTCAGAATAGCTATATGTTTGGGACTTAAGCTAGCTTGTGGCAGGAATCTATCACTTTATTCAACTTTAATTTAATCATTTTCCAGATTGGTATGCCTTATGATAATAATAATGTTAATATTCGTTTTTTTTCACCCATTACAGACTTCTCTGGTGAAGAATGGGGCCATGTATGTCCTGGCCTACCTGCACCCCGCGACTGCCGCCGGTGCAGAGCTAATGAAAAAATCACAAATGTTTGATGGTGGTTATTTAAGAAACCTTATTGAAAATTATTCAGTTAGTTGTTGTTGTTGTTGTTGTTGTTGTTGTTAAAGTTATAGTTATTGTCCTGGCGTTGTTATTGTTCTCGTTCTCGTTCTCGTGCCCGAATAAATGTGCTGCAGCGCAGGCTACTCAGTCTGTTTACTTGCGGGTGGCGGTCGAGAGTCGGGGGCACTGGTCGACGGAATTCCTTCGACGGAATTCCGTCGACCGTGCCTCGACCCCGAAGGCCAGTAGTGGTACTAGTTAACTAGTGCCACTACTGGCCTTGAGCTAGTACCATTACTAGCCTTGGGGGCTAGTACCATTACTGGGTATGGATTAGTAGGCAGTGGCTAGTTACCTTACCAGGCAGGGGCTGTTATGACACCTAGTAGACGCACTACCCACGCTATTTACGTGCGTGTTGTCAAACTAGGTGGAGCACGGTGGTCGTATGCATACGAGGCACAGCCTTGTCGAACAAGCTTGTTACTCGGCAACTAGCCTAAAATTAGCCAAATTTACACGCTCCTGCAATGTTATTTTTGCGCTGAGAATTCCTCTACACTGTAAAAAAAAACTTACAAGCCCCTCGTAGAAGAATTCTCAGCGCAAAAATAACATTGCAGGAGCGTGTAAATTTGGCTAATTTTAGGCTAGTTGACGAGTAACAAGCTTGTTCGACAAGGCTGTGCCTCGTATGCATACGACCACCGTGCTCCACCTAGTTTGACAACACGCACGTAAATAAGGTGGGTAGTGCGTCTACTAGGTGTCATAATAGCCCCTGCCTGGTAAGGTAACTAGCCACTGCCTACTAATCCATACCCAGTAATTGTACTAGCCCCCAAGGCTAGTAGTGGTACTAGCTCAAGGCCAGTAGTGGCACTAGTTAACTAGTACCACTACTGGCCTTCGGGGTCGAGGTGCACTGGGTCGACGGAATTCCGTCGACGGAATTCCGTCAATTCCAGTGCCCCCGACTCTCGACCGCCACCCGCAAGTAAACAGACTGAGAGCGCTGCAGCACATTTATTCGGGCACGAGAACGAGAACGAGAACAATAACAACGCCAGGACAATAACTATAACTTTAACAACAACAACAACAACAACAACAACTAACTGAATAATTTGCAATCAGGTTTCTTAAATAACCACCATCAAACATTTGTGATTTTTCATTAGCTCTGCACCGGCGGCAGTCGCGGGGTGAAGGTAGGCCAGGCCACATGGCCCCATTCTTTACCAGAGAAGTCTGTAATGGGTGAAAAAACGAATATCAACATTATTATTATCATAAGGCATACCAATCTGGAAAATGATTAAATTAAAGTTGAAAAAGTGATATATTCCTGCCACAAGCTAGCTTAAGTCCCAAACATATAGCTATTCTGACTTGGATAGACGATAACGGCGCACTTCTGCCAACGACGGGCAACATTATGCGATACTATACATCTTCTAAGAAGCTCAACAACATAATAACTTTTGTTTACAAATGGACAACCTTTTTGTTGAGCACACAGCAAATGATACAAGATGCCTCACCTTCAATCAAGCCAAAGAGCAGTTGGGCAGACACACACAGTAATGGCGACGCAACACAAAATGGACGCCGGCTCCCGGAAGCGGGGGGGGGACTCCTTCTGAAAGCAGCCACAGACTCCTAGGTTGTAACATGCGACGAGGATAGCTATGAGGCACATCCTCATAGCCATCCGAAGCCGCTTACCACGCAAGCTTGCCAGCACGTTTACCAGCTGCAGGCGTTCGTGACAACAAGCGGGGTTGCACGCAAGGTTATCTGTTTAGTAGGTGCCAGCCGGGGCCTCGTCAGCTGAGCTAATAGCGAAATGACCTAATTGAGGGACACGCTAAAAACTGGCCGAGAACAAGCCAACGGCGGGTAACACTGTGAGGCTGTGCGTAGTTCATTAACACTGCGCAAAATTAGGTTCCTGAACATGTTCTCGCTCGTAGGCATTTGTTCCACAAGCGGCATTGTTAACGTGCATGGCTCTGACTACTAATGTCCATATATGTTGTAACGAGGAGCAAGGGAGGCACTCGTAAAAAATGCCTAATTTCAAAATTAGCTTGTGAATTTTTTTTACAGTGTACACTGTAAAAAAAACTTACAAGCCCCTCGTAGAGGAATTCTCAGCGCAAAAATAACATTGCAGGAGCGTGTAAATTTGGCTAATTTTAGGCTAGTTGCCGAGTAACAAGCTTGTTCGACAAGGCTGTGCCTCGTATGCATACGACCACCGTGCTCCACCTAGTTTGACAACACGCACGTAAATAGCGTGGGTAGTGCGTCTACTAGGTGTCATAACAGCCCCTGCCTGGTAAGGTAACTAGCCACTGCCTACTAATCCATACCCAGTAATGGTACTAGCCCCCAAGGCTAGTAATGGTACTAGCATTCCGTCGACGGAATTCCGTCGACCGTGCCTCGACCCCGAAGACCAGTAGTGGCACTAGTTAACTAGTACCACTACTGGTCTTCGGGGTCGAGGCACGGTCGACGGAATTCCGTCGACGGAATTCCGTCGACCAGTGCCCCCGACTCTCGACCGCCACCCGCAAGTAAACAGACTGAGTAGCGCTGCAGCTCATTTATTCGGGCACGAGAACGAGAACGAGAACAATAACAACGCCAGGACAATAACTATAACTTTAACAACAACAACAACAACAACAACAACAACAACAACAACAACAACAACAACAACAACAACAACAACAACAACTAACTGAATAATTTTCAATAAGGTTTCTTAAATAACCACCATCAAACATTTGTGATTTTTTCATTAGCTCTGCACCGGCGGCAGTCGCGGGGTGCAGGTAGGCCAGGACATACATGGCCCCATTCTTCACCAGAGAAGTCTGTAATGGGTGAAAAAACGAATATTAACATTATTATTATCATAAGGCATACCAATCTGGAAAATGATTAAATTAAAGTTGAATAAAGTGATAGATTCCTGCCACAAGCTAGCTTAAGTCCCAAACATATAGCTATTCTGACTTGGATAGACGATACCGGCGCACTTCTGCCAACGACGGGCAACATTATGCGATACTATACATCTTCTAAGAAGCTCAACAACATAATAACTTTTGTTTACAAATGGACAACCTTTTTGTTGAGCACACAGCAAATGATACAAGATGCCTCACCTTCAATCAAGCCAAAGAGCAGTTGGGCAGACACACACAGCAATGGCGACGCAACACAAAATGGACGCCGGCTCCCGGAAGCGGGGGGGGGGGGGGGACTCCTTCTGAAAGCAGCCACAGACTCCTAGGTTGTAACATGCGACGAGGATAGCTATGAGGCACATCCTCATAGCCATCCGAAGCCGCTTACCACGCAAGCTTGCCAGCACGTTTACCAGCTGCAGGCGTTCGTGACAACAAGCGGGGTTGCACGCAAGGTTATCCGTTTAGTAGGTGCCAGCCGGAGCCTCGTCAGCTGAGCTAATAGCGAAATGACCTAATTGAGGGACACGCTAAAAACTGGCCGAGAACAAGCCAACGGCGGGTAACACTGTGAGGCTGTGCGTAGTTCATTAACACTGCGCAAAATTAGGTTCCTGAACATGTTCTCGCTCGTAGGCATTTGTTCCACAAGCGGCATTGTTAACGTGCATGGCTCTGACTACTAATGTCCATATATGTTGTAACGAGGAGCAAGGGAGGCACTCGTAAAAAATGCCTAATTTCCAAATTAGCTAGTGAATATTTTTTACAGTGTACGAGGGGCTTGTAAGTTTTTTTTACAGTAGAGGCGCCACTGGCTGCCCTCCGAGCTGAACCTGTCACTTACCTGCGTCAGCGAGACGATGGTGTTGGTAATGCTGGTGCCGATGTTGGCGCCCATTATCATCGGGATGCACGTGCGCACCTGCAGCACTGAAACATACAAGGTGATGCGTGTTAGGCAGACGCGAACACTTTCTAGTTTAGTTAGTATATAAATGACAAGGGTGTGTGAAACCTGTCGACGAACTCGCAGTGAGAATGACACAGCTTGAACTGAGTTTTCTAAAGAGTGTCTTTGACAGATTTGGGCGAAGGATAATCGAGACGGAAAGACATAATTAATCGCGTCTAGAAGCGACCATATGAATTGATCCTAGCACACGTCCCATACGATCAGTACACGATCCTACCAAATGCCCCGATCCAAACTCACGTCCTGAGGCGACCATGGAGACGATAATGGAGGTGGATGTGCTGCTGCTCTGTACCAGCACCGTCACCAAGCAGCCCATCATGAGACCCACCACGGGGTTTGTCAGCAGCTCGCTCGAGGAGAAGACCTGACCTGTCGAACAGACACCGGGCGATGGTCAATGGTCATGACATTTGACTTTAAGAGTGTATTAGCTCAGATTAAGGGCAATGCTCACAAAGTGGACACCTGAGTTGCGGGTCGTAAGGTAAATAAGGAAACGGATCGCCAGTCAGAAGGGAACAGTAAACGTAAGATCGTGGAACTGTTCCGGATACGCGGCTATGACAGACACTGGATTGGATGAATGCTAAAGATGATGAGGAACTTTTATCATAAGGTCACGGACTATTACCAACGGTGCATCTTCTTGTCTTTGCTGCACTCCTTCAGAGTGAGATCTACCGCGGATTGCGTGTGTGCTTTCCTTTCACAAATGGCTATTTATAGCATTGACACCAAGAAACAATGCGGTTGGAATCGGCAGCATGACATGCAATATACCGGGTTATTCCAAAACGAACATAGTCCGTGTCAGTGGTTTAAAAGTGATTGTTGTCGTTTTCCTACTATTTCGTAAGAATGTCAACGGTCAAGTTTACCTACGTTTGCCGCCCACGTTGACCAGACTGTTGCCAAGGCAAACCGGATGTTAGGACTGATTATCCGTAGTATGCAACTGTCTCGACGCTACAGCAGAGCCGCCTTTGATCACAAAACCATGTTGTGTACGTACTACGCTCATGTGCGTTCAATCATCGAGTATGGCTGTGTCATATGGGCTGGAGCGGCTGCATCTCACCTGACAAGGCTCGAGCGAGTGCAGCACAAGTTTCTGATGTGGTTAGCTCGTTACTCTGACAGGCGCTCTGACGACCTGGACTACTTGGTTTTACTCTCACATTTTAAAGTGCGCTCCATCAAGTCTAGATTCATACAGTACGATATCATGTTTTTATTCCACATTCATCGTGGGAAGCTGGACAATGATGTGTTAGTCGGTGCGTTCGGTCTTGCCGTACCGGCACGGAGGACGAGGAGCACGGTTCTGTGGAACACACCGCGCGCGCGAGTGAACACTGTGCAACGATGTTTGTTTGTCAGGATCCCAGCTGCATGCAACTCATTCTTGCTCCATGACCCGACCACCGACTTCTTTACTGGTAGTTCATACTCATTTAAAACACGCGCTATCGGCTTCACAATTACGCAAGGCACTTTCATGTGATCTTTTACATCATACTCACGTGCTTTACTTTTATCGATCTTGTTTTATCGAACGTTTATTCTTATGTAGGTACTGTCATCTTGTGTATTGCTTGTGTGTAACTGACTTCGTCAGTAAAAGGGCGATGGGCCTGTTGGCGATCTAATAAATACAGAATACAGAATACAGAATACCTATACGCTCTATACGCTTACATGCATTCCCGTTTATATTAAAACGCGTTTATATTAAAACGCGTTTATATTAAAACGCGTTTATATTATAACCCGTTTATATTAATAAGATCCTCCGATCATTTGAATAAGATCATTTGAAGCGTACCTTAAGAATACCATTAAATACCATTAAACGTTCCGCGGTATTTCGAAAGGCACCTGCGACAAACATTAACGTAGTGCAGGATATACCCGCCAACAAACTACTTTTCCAACGGGCAACAAATGGGTACTTACTGGCAGTGCGTCCTCCGACCAGTCTGAAGGCCTGAGAGAGGAAGTCCAGCGAACAGATGAAGAGATACAACAGGCTCAGCAGTGTTATAATCTTGACGATGTTGATGACAACGCGCTGCACCCTCTCACTGGTCGTCATATCTGTGGGCACGCGACTTTCACTCACGATTCTAACATTGTTACTTACGTCAACGACACGTCACACTGACTCTTTGTTACTTCATTTGTGTTCTTACGTTAAAACGGAAGTGTCTGATAAGTGGGGCCACAAAACATTTGCACTTAGCCGCTTGAAAATATAAACACCACTGCGCCATATCTCCACCAACAAGCACACCTGAAGCATGCTTTAGCGTCCAGTGCGTCAGTACCCTGTTCCGTTCCTCCCGCGGACCTACTATGGACGTCAAACCCCTTGAGACCCCACTTTTTTGCGATAATTTTCAAATGCGTCAACTCTCGTTGACAATATTCTGGCAATGTGTGTTTCAGAACCTGCCGAAACTTTTATTACTAAGGTATTTTGACGCCAAACGATTATGAAAGGTACTTCTCATTCACTCGTAATGTTAAATTTCACGGAACGAATCTGCTGTTTGGATAGAGGCTACGCGCTCATGGGGCGGAGCCACGTAATGACGTCAGCGCTAAGCTCCGCCCTGCCCCTCCGGCGCTCCTTGCCCGGCGACCGGTCACTCGCGTCTCTCGCTCCATTCAGGCTTGATGGTGGGCGGTAGCTGGTAGCGGTAGCCGGCGCTGGTAGATGGCATTTAGAGCAGATGGCGCTGGTGGCGGGGCTCGAGTGTGGCCGAGCGCAAGCCTCTGCCCGGGCCTGAATTGACCTTAGCATTACGAGTGAATGAGAAGTACCTTCCATAATCGTTTGGCGTCAAAATACCTTAGTAAGAAAAGTTTCGGCAGGTTCTGAAACATACATTGCCAGAATATTGTCAACGAAAGTTGACGCATTTAAAAATTATCGCAAAAAAGTGGGGTCTCAAGGGGTTTGACGTTCATAGTAGGTGTCCTCTCTACTCACCGGCCCAGGGCTTTCCTGTGGGCTGAAGCTCCGGCAGAGCCCACGGGTCATCGTCCACTATGGGCTTATCCTCGCCCATCGCCAGCTGAACGCTGGTGTCCTGGAACGAAAGGAGGCCACTCAGTATCGGCTCAGATGAGCCCTGGGACAGGTACGGGATCTCGAACTGGCACAGACAAGTGGTCATTGTAACAAGGATAGACGCGTAAAGAATTTAGCAATGGTAGCTGAATCCACCGATCGTTATCGATTCACGGTATACTTTGTGATGCAGTTGAAAAGCTGTTTTGTCAAAGCAGTATTCAATTCAGACAGACACAAAAACGTAACATGCACCAAACAAATCATGGTGAAACCATGTAATGATAATGGATGAGATGTTCCTATAAGAGATGTCATTCGGATACCAACCTTTTGGTATACCGATACCAAACCGATACCAACTTGGTATTTTGTAATTCAAGGCGAGTGGTCTGGATTTGGTATTTTGTTGGTATTATGAATCCTCACTAATGTAAAAGAGGCTGAGAATTTGGTAAAAAGTTGGTATTTTCCTCATATTCCCAAGTCGGTTTGGTTTCGGTATTTTTCCATGGATATTGTTGGTATTTGGTTTGGTATCGGAATCTCGATTTTCCGTCATTGACATCACTAGTTCCTATTACTCGCCGACCTTCGAATGTTTCTACGGATAATTCACATCGCGAGATGAGCTATGTTGAGTCACATTCACGCACCATCAATCATATATTTCCACACACCAGGAACGAGGAAGCTTAAATTTAGGTACAATTCATTGGGTCTCGCCTTCGCTCGACCCCAGCACGCTCTGAGAGCTTTGGGGTGAAGGCTGTCGGTCCAAGCGCTCGTCCCTGGAGCACACCATAATCTCCGAGCCACCGAACAAGCAGACCCGCGAATCGACGGTCCATGTGGGGCCTGAGGGCACGACTACCGCTATCCAAAATCGTCCGTCATCTTCCCTCGAAATGCCACCATCCAAGAGTTTGAAAGCTCCACCAGCCGGAGGTTATGAAACCACTCGACCGTCTGTCTTCGACAGGTCAGTGAATAGATTCGGCATAGAAGCTGGGTCGCAGCAGGCGGCACTCGCTGATACTCCATTCTGATGTCCATATGACGAATGGGTTCGGCACCTGCCTACGTACGACTTCTCTCCAAAACCACCAGGCGAACCCTCTCTACTTGGTCCTGGCGCAGCGAAGGTCACACACGGTGGCGTGAGCGTCGCGCGGCGGCGGGGCGGCCCCGAAGAGGCCGGTCCTCGGCGACTCGGCCAGGCCCTCAAAGCTGAAGAGTCACCGGGACCATCGTGTCGTGGAGCCCACGCGGGCAGCACGTGGACTCCAGCCACTCAGAGGCGGCCGCGGACGGCCGTGACCGGGCCAGGGGTGCAGAGAATGAGCCTGTCTCGCCGTCTGTGGTTAACATATGTTACGCACCGGACAATAGTGCTTTAAACCGGTTTCAGAGGCGGTATTTCATATGCCGCTTGTCGATGAATCGGTGCTTAGATTTACATGGCATAATTGAGTTCGAATCGCAGGCTTGGCATCGCATTTGATTCCGCATTAATGCCGATGGTAATAATATCCGTCGCTGCCAATAGTAAATTTGAAGAGCTTTTTTCGGAGATGCGAGTGGTTCCGTTGCAACAAGGCCTTGAACGCATTACGATATTCGATAGTTACAGGTCGATCGATTTGAGCTACTGAGCCGGATAAAAATGCGAATCGATGAGGAGGCCTCATCGAGAGCATTTGCAAAAGTAATTAATTGCCTTCGTCCCTTAGATGACTAAAAATATACAATTTAATCGAACTAATACCTTTACTCCGTCCATTTGACTTGTACCATTTGACTAAGTTCAGAATAGCATTTCAGACAACCTGAAAAATATTAAATGGGACATAACTATTTAACAGAACGGAATCCAAATGAGGGGTGAAATCGGTCCAGGGCTACACCAAATTTGTATTAAATTTGTCTTCATAAAAGTATCTTTCGCAATAATATCAATTTTACGATGATATAACTATGAAAAACGTACTGACGTCAAAGCGCGGCTCTAGATTCCGGGACCTGGCATTGTATTCGTCGCTTCATTTCCATTCGGCCCGCCTGATTTGGAGGCGGGTGAGGGATCCACAGAGCCACAGACCTGTTATGCAAAAGCTATCACACGCACTGTGTTCAGACGAAGGCTGCGGGTTGATGCATCCGCAATGGTGCAACAGGGTTACCGAATGCAAATTATTCACTTTGCATTCAGACACCGTGCTGCAATGTTGACATCATCACTGTTGCTGCTTAGGCCCATATTATTGTTTATATTGCGAGTCTTTTCGATTGCTTCCTGAGAATAATTACTGACATACCTACTCGTATTTCGGTTTTGTTTTTGCCAAATTGCAAAACATCTGAAACATTGCTACTTAGTGCCAGCCTTGTGCCAGGAACGTTCTGGAAGCATTGACGCTTTGCGTTTTAACTCGCGGTGTAGATCCCACAGCCGTTTAATGAGTTCCCTGGGGCTTCAAGCTAATTAAACTGTGATTTCTCGGAGTCAATAACATTCATTCATTCTATTTACTTACTGTGAACAATCACACTACCGCGTCGTGAACCGAATCGTGCTGGTCATGAAGGCATGTGACCACCAAAATTGGTCATTAGAGTTGTTCAAACTGCACTTTTGTTACATCTCAACATATCAACTCATCGTCACCCTTGCACCGATTGTCTGCGAGCCAGCAGTAGCGGCGGAACACCTTCAATTAAAGGGGGGGGGGGGACTGCCGACTTTTGGTCCCATTCTTTCCATGCAACGCCCATAGGGCTAATGTTAAAATGCCAAAATCAAAGGGGGGCACGGTGCCCCGGTGCCCTCTCGTTCCGCCGCCTATGCGAGCCAGGCAGCCTTCATGAAGAACGTGACATGATACGCGAATCATGTTTTTGCCTTGTAGCTTACGATATGATCGTGGTCGTAAAGCTAAGTACACACTACACAGGTTATATATAGGAAGTGGAAAGATGACAAACTGGAAAAGAAGATGAACCCATGCCTCGGTCAGTTATAGGAGATAAGGGTTGGACTTTCCCAGTTGTCTCAGCCAGATCCGTCGCCTGTACAAATGCTCCCAGATCAGACGGACAAGGACATGAATCGTCCATAACCTTGGAGAAAAAGCACCACCTGAAAAGCCAGGCAAACAAATGCAAGACGGCATTGGCAATATACTGCCTCTGCTGCCAAGTGTTTGTCCATGCAAGACGGGATGCATCTGCAGTATATGTCTTCTCGCTTCGCCCTTCCTACGTCCTTTTGCCCGTTCACCTCGTCTGAGCACGGGCCTATCACGTGCTGTTCGTGAGGCGGTCGGCACTGTCAGGGGACAGTGAGGTACGAGTACGGTGTTGTCGAGGTTACCTGGTACACAAGATAAGCTACAATGGTAACGTGTGACTTTTTATTCAGGCAGTGAATCCCGCCAATTGAGTGTCGACCCTTATAGTGGAAAAATGCGGTAGTTTAACCGGTGTTGTGTCACTAGACGGTAACGAAAGGCAATTGCATTAATAATGTCCCGCACCTGTCTTTTTTATTGCGCGGGTAATTGCCATTTAGGTTGTTTTACCGGTATAGGCAATGGGCATGCTGGTCGGGAGCGCTGCATCAGCGAATGAAGTAGGAATATTCATGCAAATGCTCCGCATGAACTTCCATTCTATTGCCTTCTCGAATAATATGCACGTGTGTCGGCTTGTTGCGTTTGTAGTTTCATACCTTTGTTACAAATTCTTAAAAGTAGAAATGTTCATAATGTAACTACACCAAATGCGTGTTTTTTAAGAGTCACTTGAACCCGGTTCGTGGGTCCGCATAACTCCATAATAATCGTCAGTTCACTCCAGTCCGGGCCTCTTCAGCAATGCGAGCGCGCGGCGTTCACGGTCTGTGCACGTGAGGGCGTCACGTGACGCGCCCGGAGGGAACAGGGGTACCGCTGTCGACCACAGGCCCACAAGGCCGACAGGTGTGGACCGACAATGGGCCAGCACTGCATGTGACGTTCCAGGCTTGTGCAACCAGTTTTGGACGTCCGAAGGACGATAGATAATAGCATACAGCTCTGGCGTGAGAATGTAGGCAGTGTTTTATGGGTGCGACTACTTTCATTTTTTATTTTCCGATTCATGGGCGAATCGTTGGCTGTCCAGCTCCCTTCCTAGTTGTTATCATGCATGGGTGACTTGAATAAGACAGCTAACACCTGTGTTTAACGGATGAACATAAACGTATCCTATGCACTGAATTCTAGCATCAACAAGGGATAAAAGTTTTAGCTTCAAGGCATAAAACATTTATTTTATAGTTTTAACGGCGCTTTTAATATCTGTAGCAGTAGGTGATATTTATTATTAATTATTATGATTTTTTTTTTTGGTCGAGATCAGCCAAAACTAACTTAAACCTAAGATCAAACAAAAAGGTGATAGGTAAAAAAATGTTGAAAAGACGCCTAGTCTCCGAAGCAAAAGTCAATCAGTGATCTCCGCCAGCTTAATTATGTGTATTAGTTATGCTTGCAAGTCTGTGGAAGCGATGATATTGAATATAATACGTCGTATCAAAATTGCTCCACTTGAGAGAAACGATAGCTGACGCGGACTATTAAAGAAACAGCATTTACTAGAGTGTAACTTTAAAACTGAAATACTTTAATGTTGAGCCACTCGTGTGTAGATATCTATAGTTACAAGAGCCGTCTTATCCCCACCGGTATTGCGTCGTCAACATTCAGCACACAGCCTGTTGGTTATCCTGGCCGCATTCATCAAATGGTTGTTGGATTCGGCCGTCTGTGGTAAGCCGAATGTTCAACTCGTGCAAATTCTGTCCAAACTGCGGCGATACGGAGAACGCGAGACGATACAAGAAATACCGACCAAAAGCTGGCATTTCCATCGCGCGAGTGACATGTTTTGGCCGTCTACAATGCCAAAGACCACCATTTCGTCACTTCTTTTCAGCAGCATATGATTTGGTGGCCATGTCCTGTCTCCTAGTCCCTT